GGGACAACGTGGACTGGGAGAAAGGAACGAAAATGGTGAGAGATTTGCACACCTATGTGCCTTCAACAAACTGGTCATAGGTGGCACCATATTCTCACACAAAAACATACACAAAGCCACTTGGATTTCACTGGATCACACTACACAGAATCAAATCGACCATATCTGCATCAACAAAAAGTTCAGGAGGACGATGGAGGATGTGAGAACCAGAAGAGGAGCTGATATAGCATCCGATCATCATTTGCTGGTCGCCAAGATGAAACCAAAACTCAAGAAGCACTGGACAACTGTGCGGACAACATCACAAAAGTTTAATACGGCCTTTCTTCGAGATGCTGACAAACTCAACAAATTCAACATAGCCCTCAGCAACAGGATCGAGGCCTTTCATGACCCACTCAATGGAGAGGGGACTACCATGGAGAGCAACTGGAAAGGTATCAAGGAGGCAATCGTTTCAACGTGTCAAGAGGTTCTGGGCAAAATGAAGCACCATCACAAGGAATGGATCACTGTTGATACACTGGATAAGATTGAAGAAAGGAGGAACAAGAAGGCAGCAATCAATATCAGCCGAACCAGAGCGGAAAAAGCCAAGGCACAAGCCAAATACACAGAGGCAAACAAGCAATTGAAGAGGAGCATCATAACCGACAAACGTAAATATGTGGAAGATTTAGCAACGACAGCGGAAAAAGCTGCAAGAGAAGGAAACATGAGACAATTGTATAATACAACAAAGAAACTTGCTGGAAATTACCGTAAACCAGAAAGACCAGTGAAAAACAAGGAAGGCAAAGTAATCACCGACATTGAAGAACAACGTAACAGGTGGGTAGAACACTTCAAAGAACTCTTAAATCGACCAGCCCCACTGAACCCAGCCAACATCGAAGCAGCACCCACAGACCTCCCAATTGATGTTGGCCCACCAACAATTGAAGAGATCAGCATGGCCATTAGACAAATCAAGAGCGGCAAAGCAGCGGGACCAGACAACATCCCGGCAGAGGCACTGAAAGCAAATGTAGCAGCAACTGCCAAGATACTACACATCCTCTTCAGTAAGATTTGGGACGAAGAACAAGTTTCAACAGACAGGAAAAAAGGACTTCTTATCAAAATACCAAAGAAAGGTGATCTTAGCAAGTGCGACAACTACAATGGCATCACTCTCCTCTCAATACCAGGGAAAGTCTTCAACAGGGTATTGTTAAACAGGATGAAGGATTCCGTGGACGCCCAACTTCGAGATCAACAAGCTGGATTTCGTAAGGATAGATCGTGCATAGATCAAATCGCAACTCTGCGGATCATTGTGGAACAATCAATCGAATGGAACTCATCACTCTACATCAACTTCATCGACTACGAGAAGGCATTTGATAGCGTGGACAGGACGACACTATGGAAGCTTCTTCGACACTACGGCGTGCCTGAGAAGATAGTCAATATCATACGGAACTCCTATGATGGACTAAACTGCCAAATTGTCCACGGAGGACAACTCACCGACTCGTTTGAAGTAAAGACTGGTGTAAGGCAAGGTTGCTTACTCTCACCCTTTCTCTTTCTCCTGGTCATCCACTGGATCATGAAGACGTCAACTACTGGAGGAAAGCACGGGATACAGTGGACAGGCAGGATGCAACTTGACGATTTAGACTTCGCGGATGATCTGGCTCTTCTATCACAAACGCAACAACAAATGCAGGAGATGACGACCAGTGTAGCAGCAGCCTCAGAAGCAGTAGGTCTCAATATAAACAAAGAGAAAAGCAAGACTCTCCGATACAATACAATATGCACCAATCAAATTACACTTGACGGAGAAGCTTTGGAGGATGTGGAAACCTTTACATATCTGGGCAGCATCATTGATGAACACGGTGGATCAGATGCAGATGTGAGGGCGAGGATCGGCAAAGCAAGAGCAGCATACTTACAACTGAAAAACATCTGGAGCTCAAAACAATTGTCAACCAACACCAAGGTTAGAATTTTCAATACAAATGTCAAGACACTTCTACTGTATGGGGCGGAGACGTGGAGAACTACGAAAGCCATTATCCAGAAGATACAAGTGTTCATCAACAGCTGTCTACGCAAGATACTTCGGATCCGATGGCCAGACACTATCAGCAATAAGTTACTGTGGGAGACAACAAACCAGATTCCAGCGGAGGAAGAAATCAGGAGAAAGCGCTGGAAGTGGATTGGGCACACCTTGAGGAAATCAGCTAATTGCGTCACAAGACAAGCCCTCACATGGAATCCCGAAGGTCAAAGGAGAAGAGGAAGACCAAAGAACACATTACGCCGAGAAATAGAGACAGACATGAGAAGAATGAACAAGAACTGGATAGAATTAGAAAAGAAGGTCCAGGACAGAGTGGGTTGGAGAAAGCTAGTCGGCGGCCTATGCTCCATTGGGAGTAACAGGCGTAAGTAAGTAAGTAAGTAAGTAAGTTTCTTCCTTTCCTCCCTTAAAATCAATTCGAAATTCTTGCTAATTACACAGAACCTGATTTATTATTACTATTCTATTATTAATATTTTATTTTCCTCTTCCTTCCTTTTTCAAACATGGCAAATGTAATGTTAACATTATTGCAAATTGTGTATTATTGCATTTTTGAAGAAACCCGAAATGGTTTCTTCACAGCACTTATGTACCCATAAGGTGTTTGTGAATAATAATAGTAATAACTGTATCACTTACAAGAACGGAAGTAAAAACAACACCATGACTGATCATCTCGGAGCCGCATATTTAGAAAGAAACCCTAATTTCGGTGACTTTCTGAATAATTGAACGATACGAACTTCAGGACTACGATGCTATTTCCGATAATTAACGACCACCATAAAATCTAATTCTAATCTGTAAACCAGCCCAAAACAACGCGATCAAGAAGTACGGTAAGATTCACAGAATATTTGAGTGACTGCTACACGTAAAACCCTGTACAAGTCTTCGCTTCGTCTCACTTTTCACGTCTCACTACTACTTAGTTGAACTATCAGTCCCTATTTTACCATGTAATCCCATATTGTAGGGATAGAAGACTAGATGCTGCTGGACATAGCAAGCTATCAAAAGAGTTTTTTGATTGAGATCACGAGTCGGTGAATGCCAGACCACCAATTCGGCGTAGTGGTTGATGTTAGACAATGGCACTGTTAGATGCCCGGTCAATGGTCTGGAGGTTAAGCATTCGCACAAGACCGAAAGTCCTGGGTTGGAATCCCACGAGCAGGATCGTGCATACGCCTTGCTGAGGAGTCCCAAACTAGAAGGGAACGGCCATCCACTAGTTTTGGGTTTTCAATGGTGGTCTAACACTCACCGCATCATGATCGTAATCAAAAAGACTTAACAATCTCTACAACCTCACGCTGATCATCGGATAAGTGTTTTCCAACAGTCAGATCTTTGAATTTAAACTTCTGACTGGTCACGCCTTCGGGTCGTCACCACTCTAGTGTGGAAGAAAATATGACGATAAATGTGTCCTTGAAACAAATAGATATGTGATTCTTCGACTCAGATACTGACCTCGTCAGTTTCACTTGACAAACCTTAGCTGATGGCACTCGGTTATCAATTTGCGCCAGATCACAAGTCGGCACGTTGTGCTACACATCCCTTGAGACAGCTAACCAGCTTACGTCAAACGCTTCTCAATATATCTATGGCTTTCCAAACATATTTCTGAACCCCTTAATTTTTAACGTCTGATTTGACTGGGTTGTTGTCCTTCGGCTGTAAAGTTGTAATCGATAAATACGTTGTCAAATCCTGAATATCTGTAGCATATTGAATATCATCCCTGTCTCTGCTTAGTTTTCATACTTCGATATGCCCACACTGTCTATATTATTTAGTGATTAACATCTGATTTTTACACTGTTTCTGACTTCACTTCTTTTCAGACTTCAGAATGTCCTGATGATGTCCTTCAGCGTTCAGCACCAATAAATCTACTTTTCTTAATTTACAAAGTACGTATTTTCAGATTTATTGCTTTTCTCTGATCATCTGAAACTCTAGAGCGAAGGTTGCAATCAAGAGGGCAAACTGGCTGTTCAGGAGGATGAATCGCTTTCAAAGTTCAGCAGGCGATAATGAGTTCATCTTCAGCACTTCAAAATGTGAAGCAGTGAATGTGAGACATGTTGCAGACCATGAACACAAATAGGTAGCTAGCCTCGAGAGGAATCTCGAGTTAAAATAGATATGGGAGTATTAGTACCGTGTGATCCGAAGTCCTACGTTAAATGCGACAAAATTGCCTTCCGAGCCCTGTAACGTCGAAGCGCATTTTTGGTCAGTTAGACGGTAAAACTTTTCACTTAATCTTCAGCAGTCCTATTCAACTTCATTTAGAGTATGGAAATATAGTCTTTCCGGACTTACTACAAAAGGATCAAGACACTCTGGAACGTATCTGACTACGTGCCATGAAAACCGTTAGGTGACTTAAACTCAAGTCTTATGAAAAGCGCATTCAATCCCTGAACCTCTACCCATTGGAGTATAGGCGCCTAGGAGGCGACCTTCTAATCACTTACAGCACTTTTAACACTACTAGGCACCCCCTTAAATACCTACTTAAGCTTAGGGGGTAACACCCAGAAACTAAAGACACAACACAGAACAGACTGTATATACACCTTCTAGTCCTCAAGCGTATTCAAATGCTGGGATTCGCTGCCGGATGAGCTAGTTCAAGAGACTTCCTAGGAGTCTTTTAGAAGAAAACTTGACATATTCTCAAGGATTAAGGACAGTATCTTCCTATGATTCACCAACCATTTTTCTTCTTCCTCTTTTACCAAGAATTTGCCCAGGTTCCCACCTAGAGGCATCGGTGATTCACTGCTACTAGATACGGAAACCCGTTAAGCGAAAGCTTCTTCTATTTCATCCTCAACCATTTGAACCATCTGAACGATTTGGCGCCAAGCATAAATAATGTCTTTGGGGGGGGGGGTGCAGTTTAAGGTTACCGACGCTGTGAGATAGAATCTACTTTTGGTTAGGAATTATTGGCTAATTGGTTGGTTGGACCTATACCTTTAATTGTGCGGCTACAGTTAGTTGGAAGCTATTTGAGTTGAGAATGTATACGCATCTCATTAGGGAATTTACTCTAACCTCAATTCAAGCCAACCGATTGATTTGCCCAATACATTATTGTAGTGCTTTGAACCGTTTGTTTCCAGTTTCGATTCTAAGACTTTCTTAAACTGAGGCTTGTGTTATTTCTGGTTGTTGCAACCGACATGTAGATCGCTTTTGTTATCAAATGTAGATGCACTATATGCGCTTGGAGGACTGTCGACTCACCTTTTCTTTTGTTCTCTTTTCCAGCCTTCCTCTCGTTACTCTGAATCCTCTCCTAGTACATAAAGTGCCTTCTGACTAAATCCGGATCTCTAAATTACTTACACTGTTGCTTGTATTCCTGAATGCTAGATATTGGGACATTTCGGCACGTCTGCATTGCTGCCTCATCACTCCCAGCAGGTGCACTGATAATATGTGTTCTATTGTGTTTGGCTACAAAGTCATGCGTTAAAACTCATTGCACGGTAAATTTATCACAACGGAAACTAGTTTTGTAGGATACCAATTTCCTACCATCTCTAAGCGCTGCTGTTGGTAGCAACGAACCTCAAAGAACAATATGGATCATATCGATTCTTATTAGTTCGGCTTGGAGGCTATTGATTCTATTTAATAGTTACATAAATTCCTGTAAATTGTTCAATTCATACTCAGGCGGTCATTTATCCGTTTCCAATTTGCCATATCTATCAAGTTTTATTGAAATATTTTCACTCAATATGCTTAGCATTGTCTCTTCATCTGATAACTATAGTGAGCGTCAACCTAACGACAATTCCTTTTAGTTCAGCATCGCAATTACTTCTGTGCTTTTGCTTTGTTCTCGGTGGTCTATATGATAACAGATGTTTACGTATTACAACTCAGGCTTAAAACCATTGAAAATGTTTTTCTGGTAAGAATAATCTAACTAAATATCCAAAAATAACTTGAGTTAATTGATAGCAATTAAATATGTATCATGTTTTTCTATTCGGTCTTGCTAGTAGTTTAACTTTGAAAATTTTACCTGACGGTGTCGTCATATATTTGAGTGGTTTGCTCACGTAGTTAAGCTATTCATCTGGTGAATATATTGTTTTGTAGTGCAATGAGCGAATGCAACCATCTAGTGTATAAAAACTCGATATGAATTCTCAGCGTACTGTTAGACGGTTGGCATTCATGATATGACATCAATAAAGTCGTCTCGACTTATACAATCGACATTAAGAACAGTCTCACTCATACCCCACACAACTTGTCTACTCAAACATAATTCATAAAAGTTTATTGCACGGACTAATGGTATTTGACACATTTATGTGCCAGGTTCTACGTCGTACGTGACTGCCTGACTGTGATAAACGTCTGACGTTTCAGTCGCTTGAATTATCGGCTGATTTCAAAGAAGTTACACAGATATTCAGCATCTAAAGGTAATTTACACCAAGTTTCTATGTCAGTAGATGTCGAGAATCTGGTGATATCTGATTAGGGGTAACGGTGAGTTTAACATGTGATTGTTGAAAAGTGTGACGGTGAGCAAACTCATAAATTTGTAGTGTAATTTTACTAACCTGAACGAGTGTTTATTTCATTTTATTTGTACATAAATATTGGTACAAAAGAGCACCAGATATATATGCGCCACACAAATCAAATGAGATTTGTGTGAGGGCTGTGATACTGCCCAGATGCCCAAACTAAAGCAGGTGGTTTTCTTAGGGGCCACACCCGGAACCCTTGACCTAAAGGTCTGATCCACAAGACAGTGGAGCATCGTGAGGAGATGCATTCCCATGGTAGCCAGTGACCAACGATTGGTTCATACGCCCTTTGTTCCCTTAGGATACTGGAGCCAGTGTGCACCATTGGTTTGGAATCAGGGTTTCCCAACTCCCCTAGGTGGGTCGTCCATATCCACCAACTCGGTTAAAGCGCCGGATATTCGCTTTTCGTCCTCTCAAGTTCGTAAACAACACCCCCACCACGAGAAGGCAATGAGTAAGACTTCTATGGTAGAGGCTGTATACGCGTGGCCATATGAGATCATTTCGAGACATAATTCATCTCGCAAAATGCCTTCGAGCCATATTTTCTTGTGACACTTATAGTGTTTGGTTCGAGCAGAATGAGGTAGGGAGATTCGGATTTGTGACTTCCTAATTGTGGGCTGAGTGCTTTAGTCATCATGCCACCTAATTAGCTATCCTACTATCACAAAAGCTTTATGCACTAAACGTACTCATTAGTAGTTAGATTATGTTATCTATAATCAGGCATATTGATATGCATATACATGTTGGGCTTATTATCGCTCCGGAAATCTATTTGGTCAGTCAACTACAACGTAGTGCCAGGCACTTATATGCAATGGTCCAAATTGCCCCACCTCATTATCACAAGAAGGTGAACACCAATTTCACAGAAGCAGTTTTTTCAGTGGTAGTAATATACACAAAGCGATTGCATATAAGAGTATGATACAGGGAGAAAGAATTAGTTCATAGAAAGAAAGATATAAAGTAATTTCAATCACAGTTCGTTTGCAGCTGATATTTCCTCTTTTGCTGAGGTGTGGTAACTTGGACAGTTATAAATTCCCACCAACTCCCACTTTTTAGACGGTTGATAGTAATTTAGCTCGGCAATTAGTTTCAAACTCAATTGCAAGTACCTTCTTTGTACAAATGCGTACCAAGTCGTTTTTTGACACCACTCTGTGGATATAACGAGTTCCTGATGTAAGTTTAACTAAAACCCAGGTAAGGTTTAAAAGCATCGAGAAGCTAATTTGAAACTTCTTAACGTTCAAGTGTTGCTTCCATAAGTTAAAGCAACATCTATGGCTTTTAGCAAACTCTGAACACACATCAAATTGGTCTAAAGTATTTTCGTGATTAAGACCGGGATGCTGCTACAATAACGCGTTTTTATAAACAACTGTTTTTCATGTGGTTGGATTACACTATACGTGTAAAAAAAAGTACGTCGAAGTTGAGCCTCAATCAAGTCGAAATCGCTTGTAGGAGGTAGTATACCTGAACTTGTATTTATGAAGAAACTGAAGAAGTGTATGTTATGATGATTAGGTTGTTTGTTTCTTAACCTCCAGCCATATATGTACATGTCTTTTTGAATCACTTGCCCTACATAAATGTTTCACGCACCTACATTTTACTATCTAAATATACCTATGATTTCGTCGTTTTTCAGAGTAACATATTACGAAAGAAGATATGTCTTATGATCTTCTACTTAATTTGTTTGTTGGTTCTAATACTGTGTTTCTGGATTCACATGACATTTTGTCCTCCATATGGTACGTTTAATAAACTACAATACCTATCTAATGTTCTAGTTATTTTATTCATCGTAGGGAGAGATTCCCAATAATTTTCGTTTTGTAATGTAAATGTAGAATTTTTATTGTTATAACTTGTGACCTTGTGCACCACTAATATGTAACGTAATGATACCGCCAACTAGAGAACAGTGATTTATCGACCGGACCAATGATACGTAATCCCGTACGAGCAGTCTACAGTCCTTATCGGTCCTTCTCCTTGCCTTGCCCTGCCTGTTGAGTCCAGAACATAAATCTCAGCCTCCGCGACATGAACCATGTATTTCAAACCTATTGGATTTATATACAAACCAAACAGACCACATCGCACCATAAAATAGAAAATAACGTTTGTACAAGATCTAACCAAAAGTGGGTCGGTGTCTGACAAAATCTCAGCACGGATTCAAAAAGCTCGTTTGGCTTTTACCAACTTACGTCACCTATGGCGAAGACGAGATATTCGTCTATCAATTAAGGGACGAGTATACTGCTCAGCAGTTCGTTCTGTTTTACTCTATGGCTGCGAAACATGGCCATTAAGAGTAGAAGATACTTGTAGGTTACTAATATTTGACCACAGATGCCTTAGAAATATTGCTCGCATCTGCTGGTATCACCGGGTAAGTAATAGTGAGGTTAGACACAGGGTATTAGGGAATGATGGTAAATCAGTTGATGAGGTGATGAATCTTCATCGACTGAAATGGTTGGGCCACGTGTTACGTATGCCTGAACACCGATTACCACGACGCGCAATGTTTACTAGTGTAGGGAATGGTTGGAAGAGAGTTAGGGGCGGCCAAACCAAAACATCAGAGCATGAAGTCAGAGCATCAGAGCTTGAAGTCACTAACTTCTAGTCTGAGCCATGTTGGTAGATGCAGACTACCTGGTTGGGGTCCGCGTGACTATCGTAACCAATGGTTGGAGATTGTGTGACATGGCTCAGAATTGATCACAATGGCGTAGGTGTATACACTCTTTATCTCCCCTTAAACCTTGAGATTAAAATTGCTTCATAACTTTTTTTTCCTTCCTATACTATATCCTTCTATACAACCTTTCTTTATATACTACCACCACTAAATTAATTCTATGAATCCGGTGTTCATCTTGTTGTGCTAACGAGGTATGGCAACTTGGACCGATGCATATATGTGCCTGGTCCTACGTTGTCGCTGACTGACTGAACCAAAAGTGGCTATGAATGTGGGAGACTGTAGTTAATAGACTGGGTATAACTCAAGAACGGTGAATCGTATATTAATAGTTTATAGGTCAAACTAATGCTTCTAATAAGAGGAGTATATATGTACACAATCCAGCCCCTGAACATTTATACATTAAGAATATACATATAATATTTCTCCATAAATAGCCCTCAAAAGTTACCATTCATAATTCTCATCGGGATATAACATTTATTTAGGACCTCAGTGATGCTAAGTGCTTTTAAATGAGCATAATTTCCATTTCATCCGGATAATTGCTCAACTAACTGGTGTTACCACTTTTTGATTACCAGTTGATAAGAAGCAACGCGGCAAACAGATTTTCAATCTGAATGTAAAAAGAACAGTTCTTTCAATACTAATATGATATTTACTAAGGACCGCAAAACAACCCAAAACTGTGTAGTAATCGTGAATCTTAGACGTAAATTTTTCGTAAACCTTGAAATCAAGTAGTTTACTTTGTCCATTTGAATTTCTATTCATGATATTAGTAATCACTTCTAGGAGAAAAAAAACTCTAGGAGGAGATGGGTTCTATAGCATCTCATGTACAATTGAGTTTGTTCACACTTAATTTGGTTGAGACCTTTTGTTAACTTATTTAACAGACAGTCATTCGTACAATAACAACCCATCTATACTATTGTACCTTTGTCGTTGTTGCACTTGTATGAATATGTATGCCTGATCATTGCTTACTGCCTATGCATATATTCATTCTGCTAGCCTTACTATTAGTCGCTTAATTGATTCGATGATTCATTCATTTCGCTGACTCGCACACTCGTTCATTGACTCGACCAATCTCTCACTCGCTCATTCGACTTGCTTGCATTTCGGCACTACTCTTTCGTGCTCACTTAATGTGCCTGTAGTTTGGGATATATGTGCGTGGTTCAATAATAAGCGTAATCAACACTTCGTATTCGCCTTCTGATTTACATATCGTCGGAGCGTTATCTAGTAACGATTATCAGGCGAACAATATGCGAAGTTTTAGGATAATATCGAATACCGACCACCACAGTTCTCACCAATAGCGTAGCCAAGTGTTATCTGTAAAACAATAGTCAAATTTGCAGTGCATATACTTTAAAATCAAGTTATTAAACACAAAGGCTTGTGAAACAGCCAGCCTATACCTAAGATAAACTATCTCTGTTATGTTCAGTAAAGGCTGAATCCAAACTGGTATTTGCCAGATGTATATTATGTGCTTCCTGGATAAAACGTAAATAATCTGGAAAAGAAGACCAAGCTGACTCTCAGTCTCAAAAGCTACAATAAATTTTTAAATGTAAAGATATTTGAAGCTGTCCACTTTATCGTCCAAAAGCCTTTCCTATTTTCATTTAAAATTCAAAAGTAATTTCCGACCCATTATTTTAGCAACAACTCATCTATCTTCGTTGTTTCTATTCTAGCTTATACTGTGTTCTCTGCAGTTGAATATGCTGCAATATTCGCGAACATTATCTATCACTATACAACCTCCAATACATTTGAAGATATATCAATGAGGAGAATGATCACTTACTTTTGCACCGGTCGAACTATTCCATTCGTAAATATGAAATCAGAACAACCATTGTTGGAAGTAAGATAAATAGTTGTTTTTCAAAAAAAAACTTTATTTAATTCGCTATCATTCGTGTGTACGTGAGATTATACTACCCATTAAAAATTACATAAAGCATATTTTGTTAACTGTCTGACAACGTCGATGAAACAGAATTTCATGTAATTTGAGGGTATATGTGTTATGTCATTGATCCGGCTGTCCACTAATGTACGAAAGAGAATTGCCTCAACCTAGTTTAAGGTATTGAAGCGACGGGTTATTGAGTACAACCTTGAGGCTAGCGAATGCGTGAGTTCAATTGTGACTGGAGGGTGTTGAGAGCAGAGAAAAGAAAACTAATCCCTAACTGACCTATTACCTGATTAGTAGGTTGGCAAGATAGGAAAGGTAAGAATTGGACAGAAGGTTAAATGTCTGACTAGCAAAACAGCAACGCACAAAGAATAGGAAAAACACAGTTGCGTCTAATCTAGGGCATTAGAGTAGAAAGATGGAGTGCAAAGGCTACGTCAGAATTTCAGTAATTTTGGAATGAATGTTCTTACATTGATATACACGTTACATGAACTTACAAGAACTTCTAAAGAACACATTTTGGTCGGAGATAGGATTATGTACCTAGTGTAAAGAGCAAGGTGATACGTAGAATGATTACGTTCGCATACCCCAGTCATGCAGTTTCGATAAAGTATTTTTGCCTTCACCTCTTCTTACCTCCAAGTGTTAAACAGCGGGTTGTCATATTCGCATCACTTACTCTTATACTTGAAAACGAGGGACTACTAAAATACTCAAACGTTGAAGTAAATAGACGAAGACTGGTATAGGTGAAAATTTATTCATCCAAAAACACGACGACCCAATTCAAAGGTACACCTGTTTATTTATTAATTTGTACATCCATTTGGTTATTAAATGGGAAGAAGCCACGTATATGAAATTCTGACAAAATTGCATGCTGCATATCTTTCGCGTCAATTCAATACAAACAACATCATATCTTGAATAAACATCACAGTGCAGTAAATCAATGTTATAGTAAGTAAAATGTTACACTGGAATTAAACACAAATATTACAGTGAGTAATCATCATATTGGATTAAAAACAGAAGTAAGGCGAGACTATAATTTATGGACGAGCCAATCAAAAGCGTTTGAAGAATTGAAAGGTCATAGAGCCGAATTCAGTACCTGATGCTCATGTACAATCAGTTCACAGAGGATTTTAGAGAAGACACGATAATTAAACAGCTACAATAAATGGGACTATTAAGAAGTTCCTTTATTTGTAATTGCGGTCATCAATTGACTTGTAGACCTTGTGCAGAATACCCTGATGATGTTATCTTTCGATGTAATATATGTTAGAGGAAGAAGTCTGCCAGAACAGGAACTTTTTTCTCTCGATCCAGATTGAGACTAAGGAAAATTATAATAAAAGTGTATAATAAAAGCATCAGTATCATTATTCGAAGATGTTACTGGAGCTTCGACTGTTCAGGGGTATGAGTATGGTAGGGATATATGCGTAGTAAAAATGACAAACTTACACAACCGGAGTACATACAAACAATATTGAGGCTATATGGTCGAGGCTGAGGCAGTTTTTGTGACCTTATCATAGCTCCAGAGACCGAGTGTGATAGAGCTATATGAATGAGTTCCTCTACCTTATGCATTACGATTTTGGAATCTTCGAAACTTTTTCTGACCTTGACAGGTTTTTGGACCATGTGAAAGAAGGATTTCCACTCTAATTCTTTTGTGGTGTAATGTATTTTTTACTCTATACTAGCTGTCACCTGATTGGCTAATATTTCTCAAGGTCACTTAATATTCGTTCGAAGGTCGTCCATAAATCACAGTCTCGCGAAAACTCAGTTGTTGTGTCTCTCTCTCTCTACAGGTGTATAGCAGTAAATTTGTCATCGCTAATTAGTGCGCTATTGGGGATTCAGAAAGAAATCAGGGTACTCATGGTCGTGCGTTTTCAAACAAGTATATTACAGTCACTCATAATAAATGCACAAATTATGAGAATTAATGAAACAAATACAAATAGTATGAAAACTGTTTACAAAGTAATTTTGTTATAACTATCTCCACATAGCCCTCCCAAGATTGTCTGTAGGTAACACTGAGATGCCAAACAAATAAGATAAAAGAATTATACATGTATGCAGAATTAACAGCCAAGAAAATGTAGGATAGATGTTCAATGATATTTTATGGGAAGAAAAAAAGTTTCGGCGATAGATTTGTATAAAGTACAGAATATCATATGTACATTAGTAATGTACAATGTGTTAGTGTATATAGTTACACGGATGTAGTCGAGTACGACAAAAATGAAAATGTGATCAGTAATAGTGTCTTAGGTTGCTAATAATGATAAAGTGCAAAACTATTGATAAGCTAACAAGAAATCGAACAGTTTATTTTTATTTATAATTAGTGAAAAGCTATCAAAAATTCACTAGTTTATTTTTGTGACAGTTTTAAGGAAATGTGAAAAATCTAGTAACCGTAGAGAATATAACTAATTGTTTACACTTTGTACGGAAAAATAGTAGTTTTTATTAGAAGACCGTATGAATAGCGTAGCGTAATATATATCATTGATTAAGTGTTTGTTTTTTTATTCCACAAAAAGAACGTAACGTTTAGGCTTCTTTACTGTTCTGCCCAAACGGGTTGAACATGTAGGATTATTGCTTGATTTTCCATTTTCCTCTGATTTCATAGTAATTAATGGTAGAGGTTGTTCATCTGTGGTAGTATTTTCTTTGTCTTGCTGGTCCTCGTAGAGAGCAGGTTTGAATTCTATCTATAGAGATAATTTATTTTTTCCACTGTAGCTGCAAATAATTCCCCAAAATCAGTAGCTTTGTAAGTGTTCGTCATTGGATGCTGACCACATTAGTTTTAGTGGATTCGTTTAACTGAAGGCGCTCGGTCATGCATCCGTACAAGATCACGTTACAGAACGGCGTGGGAAGCATCCCCTACGGTCATTAGCCAGATTAGATCAGTCACTTCTTGATATATTGATAACCCATTAAATATATTTTCCAACCTCCTCGCTTCTGACTTTTGATTTAACTGGGTGGGCGCGATTCGATTATAGAAGGTTTTACTGGTAAACAGTTGTCAAACTACAATACTTGTGATATCTTCACCACTTTTGTTAATAATAACGTGTTTGATTGTCCGTTTAATTACTTTATAAGGTCGTTCGTATGGTCGCTTTAACGGCGTTTTAACAGCATCAACTCTAACAAAGACAAATTTGGATGTTTACAGGCGTTTGTCGAGCTGTACGTGCCTGTTATGTTGACGTGGAGGCACTGCTCCAATTTGCTGTATTGTTTGTAATAGATGGCTCGCAATGTGAGTTGGGTCATTTGGTATTGTGAAAGTTCGTGTAATTGTTGAAATACCCGTCGTTGATAGGCTTTAGGGACAAAATAAAGATTGTTACCTGTTGAAACATCACAGATAACAAACAAGTTGGAGAAAGGAATTAGTGCGGATTCGAGAAACAAATTAAACTTCTCTTCACAGGTTTTAATTCTGTATCGTCTACTTGTAATTTGGCTATAGTTTGAAGATTAATATACTGTTTTTGTACCAGCGTATTGGTATCCTTTCAGGATTGAGCATCGGCTATGGTACTGAAATGCCCTTTAATGAACTGGATGTCGGTTGTGAGTTGCGAGATGTAGTCAAATTGTCGCGCTTCACGTGGTGAATGTCGATCATGTGACGTCTTAAGGGAATAGCATAAGGGTTCATGTTCGGTCATTATCATTAATTCACGTCACTGCAAGAGGAAAGTTAAATGCTTTGCCGCTAAATAAATAGCTAGTAATTCACGTCCAAAGGTGCTTTAACGTTCTTGGGATAGTGAGAGACGTTTGGAGGCAAATGCTATAGGCGCCATGATGTCATTTAATCGTCGTCGTAGTACTGCCTCGACAGGTTTTTGAGATGCATCGGTGCAGCAGATTAGGCGTGTTGTAGGGTCGGAGTTTAAATGTTGTAACATAATAGTGTTTGTCATGATTGAACTTGTGTTTACAAAAACAGCTTTCGCATCAAGTGATGAAGTGATTCTTTCTTACATCATTTCTTTTCTACCCAGTTACAGAAGATCTGTTAAGGGTTGTGGTGTTGTTGCACAATTGGGTAAGAAAATGACGATAAAAATTACACATACTGAGAAGTAAACGCAGAGATTTTAATGAATTTTGTTCTGGATAATTATTAATAGCTTCGATATTTTCCTGGAGTGGTTTGATACCTAGTGAGTCGATATGGTGTCCCAGAAACTCATACTAAATGTACAAAATCTGAGAAGAAAATGAAAGTAGTATCAAAAAGTAATTACAACATAAGTTTGTGCTAACTGTTCAAACAGTCCCAACACAACCCTCAGTGGCAACACATGTGAGACATGTTGCAGACCATGAACACAAATAGGTAGCTAGCCTCGAGAGGCATCTCGAGTTAAAATAGATATGGGAGTATTAGTACCGTGTGATCCGAAGTCCTACGTTAAATGCGACAAAATTGCCTTCCGAGCCCTGTAACGTCGAAGCGCATTTTTGGTCAGTTAGACGGTAAAACTTTTCACTTAATCTTCAGCAGTCCTATTCAACTTCATCAAAAAGACTTAACAATCTCTACAACCTCACGCTGATCATCGGATAAGTGTTTTCCAACAGTCAGATCTTTGAATTTAAACTTCTGACTGGTCACGCCTTCGGGTCGTCACCACTCTAGTGTGGAAGAAAATATGACGATAAATGTGTCCTTGAAACAAATAGATATGTGATTCTTCGACTCAGATACTGACCTCGTCAGTTTCACTTGACAAACCTTAGCTGATGGCACTCGGTTATCAATTTGCGCCAGATCACAAGTCGGCACGTTGTGCTACACATCCCTTGAGACAGCTAACCAGCTTACGTCAAACGCTTCTCAATATATCTATGGCTTTCCAAACATATTTCTGAACCCCTTAATTTTTAACGTCTGATTTGACTGGGTTGTTGTCCTTCGGCTGTAAAGTTGTAATCGATAAATACGTTGTCAAATCCTGAATATCTGTAGCATATTGAATATCATCCCTGTCTCTGCTTAGTTTTCATACTTCGATATGCCCACACTGTCTATATTATTTAGTGATTAACATCTGATTTTTACACTGTTTCTGACTTCACTTCTTTTCAGACTTCAGAATGTCCTGATGATGTCCTTCAGCGTTCAGCACCAATAAATCTACTTTTCTTAATTTACAAAGTACGTATTTTCAGATTTATTGCTTTTCTCTGATCATCTGAAACTCTAGAGCGAAGGTTGCAATCAAGAGGGCAAACTGGCTGTTCAGGAGGATGAATCGCTTTCAAAGTTCAGCAGGCGATAATGAGTTCATCTTCAGCACTTCAAAATGTGAAGCAGTGAATGTGAGACATGTTGCAGACCATGAACACAAATAGGTAGCTAGCCTCGAGAGGAATCTCGAGTTAAAATAGATATGGGAGTATTAGTACCGTGTGATCCGAAGTCCTACGTTAAATGCGACAAAATTGCCTTCCGAGCCCTGTAACGTCGAAGCGCATTTTTGGTCAGTTAGACGGTAAAACTTTTCACTTAATCTTCAGCAGTCCTATTCAACTTCATTTAGAGTATGGAAATATAGTCTTTCCGGACTTACTACAAAAGGATCAAGACACTCTGGAACGTATCTGACTACGTGCCATGAAAACCGTTAGGTGACTTAAACTCAAGTCTTATGAAAAGCGCATTCAATCCCTGAACCTCTACCCATTGGAGTATAGGCGCCTAGGAGGCGACCTTCTAATCACTTACAGCACTTTTAACACTACTAGGCACCCCCTTAAATACCTACTTAAGCTTAGGGGGTAACACCCAGAAACTAAAGACACAACACAGAACAGACTGTATATACACCTTCTAGTCCTCAAGCGTATTCAAATGCTGGGATTCGCTGCCGGATGAGCTAGTTCAAGAGACTTCCTAGGAGTCTTTTAGAAGAAAACTTGACATATTCTCAAGGATTAAGGACAGTATCTTCCTATGATTCACCAACCATTTTTCTTCTTCCTCTTTTACCAAGAATTTGCCCAGGTTCCCACCTAGAGGCATCGGTGATTCACTGCTACTAGATACGGAAACCCGTTAAGCGAAAGCTTCTTCCATTCAGTACGGAAAAATCTGAACCATTAGAATCCTTATAGTCAATCATCCTGTTTCTATTTGGGCGTTGGAGTCAGTTTCACAGCCCTCACACAAATCAAATGATATGTGTAGTGCATGTGTGTTTGATGCCTCTTTGTACTAAACTTTTTGTGTTCAAATAAATAAATAGTGTACATTTTCGTTAATGGTTGTGGTAGTTTACCAGATTTCACTTCCGTATTTTAGTACTGTCTAGACTTACTTACTTACGCCTGTTACCCGTCGTCGAGGAGCATAGGCCGCTCACCAGCATTCTCTATCCAACTCTGTACTGAGCCTTCCTTTCCAGTTCATTCCAGTTTCTATTCATCCTTTTCATATGTGTTTCTATTTCCCGGCGTAATTTGTTATTTGACCTTCCTCTTTTCTGCTCCCCTTCCGGATTCCAAGTTAGGGATTGCCTTGTAATGCACATTGGTGATTTCCTTAATGTCCGATCCACTTCCAACGTCTTTTCCTAATTTCCTCTTCAGCTGGAAGCTGGTTTGTCCTCTCCCATAAATCGCTGTTGCTCATAGTATCCGACCAATGGATGCCAACAGTGTGAACTAATGTTGTAATCTAAACATGAAGTCAATGACTGGCTTTTATCCTTTTGTCTTTAGCTTCTACAGACTTTTATATAACACAATTCAAGAGTTTGAGATCATGGTCCTTCATATAGCTTGCCAAAAATATGAATATGATCTTTTCATTGTCTATTTATTATCCCCTCACGAATATAATTTGTTCACCCTGAAATTTGGAAGCTTTAAGTAGTGAGTCATTGAGGGTGATCATTCTCGCGGCTATCAACGACATTGAGAGAAAGTCCCATGTAGCCAACAATATGCCAAAAATGGCACTCATGTTCATTCAAAGTCAGTTAGTGAGGTTCATCGGAATTTTTGAGTACAGCCTCAACTATTTGCATCGGTTTGTTTTAAGGTGTTGTATTATCCTAAACAAAAACGAGAAAGTAAGATTTTAAAAGTCGATGCTCAGTAAACGGATGATGGTTAAATTACCATCACCTAAGACTATTTATTTTGGAAGACATTTGCTGATTTGAATGAACTCAACCTTATTCCTCTAATTCCAACACCTGTTTTGAAAATCAATAACGAAGGATTCCTAAAATGTTAATTTCCCAAACAAAAGCGACGTGCCTTTGGAACACTGCTAAAACTTAGCCTCAGTCATGCTTGTAACAACCGTAAAACACATGTTTGATCTGAAAGTAGAAAACCATCCAAAAGACCAATACTGTGGCAGACTGGATTATTTTGCAAGGTACATGAAGATTATTCAAGTCACTGACGAACAATGATTATGTTGAAAATTTTGTTAATGGTTTATAAAGGCAATACAAAGTGACTAAGATATGTTAAATGACTTAAAGTACTTCATTTATGTAGTTAACCCACTTCATAGTCAAAAGTTTCTATAATATAAAGTTACTGACTGCATAGGAAAAGTGGTAAGCACAGTCGTTAAGTAAAGGGGAATCAAGAATACTGAGATTGAATTTTTACATGCGGTAACCAGAGATTAAGCACGTCTCCAAAAGACACACATGAATCAACTCCATACCGTAACCTTGAGTACAGTTATATCAGACCCTTTTGCAAATGATTTAACAATGTACAACGACAACATGAAATTGTTAGGACAAAACTAAACCCAAGTCAATTTATTTCAGTTTTACTCAAAGAAAATTGAAAAGCATGTAAACGAGGCCACATGAGTCCTGGATAAAAGGCAACACAAAAATAGTGGTTGAATTCTATTGAAATATAACATGGCACTGAATGACCTTTTCGTTGAGGAAAAATCGAAGTGAGAAATAGGTTCACTTTTTGAGATGAAAAATGTCGCATACAGTTCCAATAATTAGATCGAAATGCTTTATATGCCTTTTAAAAGTCCCGTTTCTTGGAATGCAAATAGCTAGCTGGCTATAAGAAAATCATGTACATAGAAACTGACAGCCGTACTTCAAATATGGATTATCACAATGTGTTGTGCGGCCAGGTTGTTGGAATCGCTATTACGTTATTGAACTGAGAGATCACTATGTCTTCCAATGTAATAAGAGGAATCTATATTCAAAAGATTTCTCGGATGATTAACCAAAAACATATTTGATCTCAGCTTCTTTATGAGAAAAGAAGTGTCCTGAGAGCTGTATCAGTTCGAAACTGATAAATTCGATGCCCCTAAATGAAACTGCTGAGAGGACACCATCTACGACACTTCACAAAAAACATTTGAGAACTTTTATGACGATCAAAATTCGTCTTTTAATTATTACCTGGGAGCCATTCAAAAAGATCGAATTTCACTTTTAGGTGAACATAAATTGAGCTAGGTCCTTCATATTCAGTCATTCCTATGAATAGCAAATTACATTATTCTGATTCGGTTTTCAAGAGGATCCATATTTAAAACGTTTCATATCTTCCAGATAAATAAAATCCCAAAAGATCATGCCTGGAGGTACACCAACTTCAAAACCAAGAGTTTCTCAATCTCGATGAATCAGTATGGTGTTCAGTAAGATTGTCTACCACCTCGAGGTGTCTAGTTAAGTTCATCAACGGGAAGCACACTGCTTACATCGATTGCTGGAAGGATTATCCCGCTCTACGCGTCTCGGATTCTGTCATATCCTGATTCTACGGAACTTCAATCTTCCGAGAGTCAACTTCGCGGAACATAACTATATTGAAGGTGAAAACTCAACTGAAGCTCGGTTCTTCAACCTCATTGAGGATCTGGGATTATCCGAAAATGTGAAGTTGGCAACTCGTTGGAGAAACAGTTAGACGCAGTTGCGCTCAGACTGGGTATTTACAAAGGAACCTCACGATCCTGGTTCCCTTGGGGGAGAAGCGACCACACCCTCGTAGACTTCAGTTTAGTAAACGAAACTGAGCAAAGACATCCCACCGACAACAGGCGCTGGAATTTCGAACGGTTGAATGTGTCCGCTTTACAGGATTATCTACAAGGGTGGATTGGGATGTTCACCCTCAACTTGAGGTGGATGCACATTAGGATTTCTTACTGCACACACTCTCACGTACAATCATTAAGAACCACACTCTTCATTTGCTAAGCCGCAAAAAGCACTGTCGGGATGAATACGAACGAACTGACGACAACCGCGTACAGGCAACAAAAAAAGGAATATTTGCACAAAGGCAATAAGAGAAGACAGGCTTCAGTATCAGACCAAATTTATCGATAAATTTGTCTACTGACCGAAAAGCTTATTCTGTTACCCGGCTTCTCTTCGACAAGCGAAAAATGGAGTTTCCCAACTGGTAGTTGTCAGTGGTCCGACCAGTAACGACGGGGATGTCGTCAATCTTTTGGCTGAACAATGCTCTCAGATATTTCAACCGACCCACATCAACTACATTGGTGATAGCTTCACCTGCACCTGCACATGACTTTACGAAATGGACCTGAGCGCTGACCTGATGTTTCGTAAACTGCAGCACATACGAAAAGACACCCCTTCTGGTCCGGATATGATTCATTCTGCTATAATGAGAAAAGCAGCTTCAATCCTGGCAACACCGCTTAGTGTGATGTTTTCACACTCACTAAGCCTAGGTAAACTACTGGAAATTTAGAAGCTGGCTCACATCACACCAATTTTCCAAGGACGCTGACGCAGAGAACCCTCAAGCTATCGACCGGTGGCCCATCTCACTATATCTTCAGAAATTATGGAGTCCCTGATCTACGATGGTATATGCGACTACTTATTATCCCTAGAGTTCTTCACACTCCGACAGCATGGGTTCAGGAAGGGTCACTCTCGCATAACCAACCTGCTCTATGCGGTGGACAGATGGACAAGCATCCTTGATCGTGAGGGGAAGGTTGAAATAATCTTCCTTGATTTCTCAAAAGCTTTTAATAGGGTCAACCATATATGTCTTATCAATAAGCCTAAACGATTGTGTACCAAACCAACTCTAATTGATTGGTTTGCTTCACATCTAAAAAGTCTACATCTTAAAGTCAGGGTTAACTTTACTTTCTCTCAGGCTATGGAATGCCCTAACGGGGTCCCCCAGGGTCCAGTACTAGGACCTCTTCTCTTCTTGATTTTTATTAACTATCTTCCACAACACATAACGTCTGACTCATTGATTTCTTCTGGTAATGTTGAACTTTGGAGAGAGAGATACACAACCGATAGGATATAGTGGCACTTCAGGAGGATCTGACTCGACTTCAATGTTGGGCAGATTACAACGGACTTACTTTTAACACTTCAAAGTGTACAGTAGTCCATCTGCGACATGTTGCAGACTACAGTTACGACATAAGGAATTCCTCTCTAAGAGTATCCCAAGTAGAAAAGATTTAAGAGTGCTGGTACCCTACGTCTTGAAGCCTTACAATGACTGTGACAAAAATGTTTTTCCAGCAAACATTGCACTGATAACATTGAAGCGCATTTTAGTCCAGATACCCGGTAAAACCTTCCACATAATCTTCAACAGTTTTATTCGTCCCCATTTAGAGTACGGAAACATAATATTCCCCCCCTCTCACCAAAAGTATAAGGACACTCTGGAGCGCATCCAACGTCGAGCCACGAAATCAGTTCGGGGACTCAAATTCAGACCTTATGAAGAGCGCCTACAATCACTTGACCTTTACCAGTTAGAGTCAAGGAGTCTTAGAGGTGACCTTCTTACGACTTACAGTGTCCTTAATACTTCTGGTCATCCCCTTAAATATCTACTTAAGTTTAGTCACACTACTAACTTATGCGGTAACACCCAGAAACTGGAGACTCAACATAGTAAAACGGAATATAGAAAGAACTTCTACTCCTTAAGAGTTGTCAAATGCTGAAATTCGCTGTCGACTGAGCTAGTCCATGCGACTTCCCAGGAGTCCTTTAAGAGGGAACTTGATCTATTCTTCAGGCCCAAGGAAAACATATTATTATGATTTACCGATTTCTTTCTTTCTTATTATCGGTTATATACCTAGGATCCTGCCTGGAAGTATTGGTTATCCACTGCTACTAGAAACGGAAGCTCATTAAGTCAAAGCTTCTTCTATGCCGTACACGACAATTTGAAGGATCAACTGAATATTAGCAGCCAAATGTGTTGAGTATTTAACTGGTCGAGCGATAAATTGCCTACCTTATTTTTTAAAAGTGATTTACCTTGCCGATAGCTTAGTTTACCTGATTTAGTATTGATTGTTTAAAACCACTGTCTTGTCAGTACCTTCACTGATATTTGCGCGTGTTTCAATATATATGATGAATATTCACTGCTGTCCCAAGTGGACGTCTGTTGGAATTAAGAAGTAATGATTCAGGGTTATCTCCGGTGACTTTCTCAATCCATTCTTCCATTTATACTTTAAAATATTCTATTTGTGATCGAATAGTAATCATTCCAATGAATAGTTAGGACAAATTTAAATTACTCTTGACTCATTGTTATGCATTACCTATTCTATACTCTGGAGCATAAAATTTTAGACTTTATGCAGAAACATAATCTTATGTGATAAGTAGTTTGTATCGAATGTTTTAATGTCTATATCAATTCTACATATATATATATGTTAAAGTTTGTTGCCATAACAATTATCGTTATGTCTTATACAACGACACACACGATTAATAACAATAAACGTACCGTGAAATAAAATTTAATATATGGTACACTCATTAATTCAGCCGGCATATCGATCGTACGATCATGTAGATTTGTTTATTTACGCTTTAAATTTATTTATCAGGGTGATTAAGCAATCTGGACGAGACGTTGTTAATTAACTCATTATCACACTTATTATTAGTTTCAATAGGTGAATAGTAAATGTTTGTATCGAAAAGAAACTGAATTCGAAGTTTTCAAAGCAATTATTTTCGAAATAGACTATGAAAAGCATTAAGCGACATATAAAAGTGGTGGTACAGTGGAACTAAAGCATATAATGTTAGGTAAAAGGGTCATAAGAAATAAATCACGAGTTATTCACAAGCATACTTACAAACTGCTTGTTGATATCATCGTGATGTCTGCGAATTACTGGCTAGATGGAGCTATAACAAAGCACCAGACGGTAATGCTTATTATTGTTCGGCTAAGGGCAAAGATGTTGACAACTAGAACGTCTTCGGGTTGTTTTTGTCTGATGGACTTTTCTTGCACCAAAAAGGTTGTTTTTAGCCTAAAAGCACCCAGAATACTTACATACAAAACCTATCCTTGAAACAATAATCATTGCAGTTAAGCTTTGATTGATAACATTGCAAAAGCAGTGTACTCATAGGAACCTAACAAAAATGACACTTGAAACAATGGACTATGTATACTTCATTAACATTTCGTTAACTTTAAATTCTGTGTGGATGTTAAAAAATTTTTTGAAACAAATGCTTTTATGTTGCACTTAATAGTAAACGAAATATTTCGTTTTTTTCAATTAGACTAATCTGTTTTTTGCTGTGCATATCAGTAGCTTGTTTGATCACTTATCGAGTACATGTTTGGTTAAAGCATTACGACAGTTTGGCATCAAAAATGATCATTTCAGCTTACGATGATCATCAGAGTAATTTGCCATTTCCCTTGATCAGTATCTGTAATATTAATCCAGCAAGGTGAGTGGATTTATTTTTGTTCAAATAATAAATAATTTATTAAAAACTGAAAATGACTGGGCGAAATTATTTGCAAAACATAAACGTGGAACTATATTGATGAAAACATGACCACTTATTAAAAGGCTATATATGTAGTTCATCAGTTTTTGGAACGATAGAAAGTAATGAGTTACTATTGATACGTCGATTGTTGTTAGAGCTGTGTTTTCAGTGAATATGTCGCCTAATCTTTGTGAAAGGAAAAATTATTTTTAATATTGCTAATCAAAGTTGGCCAAACTTCTAATCTTACTTTATGCTCTATACCGAAGAAATGGGGATTACATCAGAGCATTCGGTTTGCCAATTACTTTTTCATGGGCTTTCCAATAAGACGACACATCGCAAATATTTCGGTAACTTATATAAATGAATTGGTGAATATTGATTACGTTAATGTGCCACAGTCAGGTCACAAGTACCTAAAATGTATGTAACCCAAAGTAAAATTTATAACTAATGTATTATTGATGAGTTGTTGAAGTTTCTGCTAAAAACAACCGAAACGCAAGGCTAATTTAAAACAACAACTACGGGAGCTTGATTGTTTATCAGGTATTTTATGAAACCTTTAGCATTCTAGAATTTGTTCACTTTTAAATGCCAACTTTTTCATCAGCCTAATGTATGAACTGGGTTTTGTAAAAACTTTTCTGAGGGTTTTTCCTGACTTCAAATTAATTTTTTTTTTAAGGGGAACTAAACTGTATGATATCCAGTCAGCTGAGTCGCAGGATCGTGGTGTTGATTACGAAATCTTTTCGGATGCTTTTCAAGGACGTCCAAGTGAAAATTTCCCGGAAAGCAAACTTGAAATGCCAATTTTCAAGCTCATGGACAAAGCATCTCATCAGATAGGTCAAATGTTAAGAAGGTAAAGTAAATTTAAATATCAGTGATAGCCAGTAGATGACTGACCATTACTGTAATCAAATTTCTGTTTCTCAAATATACTATAATCATTGACAGTATCGCATGTATAATGTGTATTAATGAACACAAATTTTAGCATTATTATTTTTCATGAATATTTCATATGGTGCACGCTGAGCCTCAAAGAGTTTTCTTTACTATAAACGTTGAATGATAAGTGATCAAATCAGAATGTTTTTGATGAATGGCTAAACAGACTCAACCGTGGAGCTTTTTTAATCCAGTGATATGGTTAAGGCAGATTCCTCTTTAATCAACCGTATTTTAATTAATAAACAATTATAATTTAAAAATCCTAAGTCTAACCACACCAAAAACTTGGTTTCGTGGACGTTCCGACTTTTAACACTCAATTTTAGTCAGCTGTGCATTCATTTATACTTTTCCCACACTGATTTGACTTATACAAAGTTTATTTACAGTGATTTATTATTTTTGATGACGAAATATTAAATTGGAGCAAGCCAGTCCAAATTAGTGCAAAGTTCCTTGTACATGTGTTCATGTATTTTGAACATAAAGATAAGATAAGCGTTCACTGCTTTTGATTTCCTTGATAAATTTGAACAAGGTGAAAAAAGCATGACTGATAAGGATCTAAAGAAACTCTTTCTTCAGTCCATCTCCCAAACTTTATGAGCAAAACTGTGAGTGATATCTGAAGCATAATCGCGTCATTCCTAGTAGTTCAACCAGCATTTGATGTTGAATAATGAAACTATTTAAGGTACAAGAAAACCCCTTTTATTACAAAACGATTGTCGAAATATGTCAGATCTTTGTTTCTAACTATACCAGTTATCTCAATTTTAAACCGTTTTCAACTGTTCAGAAACTTTACAATATGGTGAATTTATCTTGTTTTTCAAACAATCTTGTTTTCATTTTGCTCAAATTTTATAAATACATAAATAGGTGACTTAGTGTTTCTTATCATTACCTGGATGTGAATAAAGTGAGAAGATCGGAGAAAATGATGCTTAGTCTTCACCTAACCAGCGACGAGGTGCCCCATAATATTTTGTTCCACACAAACATTCCGCAAACAGACAATCTAAAAAAAATAACGAGGATAACGTTGGGTTAATTCCTTTTTACAGGAAGAATACATATCTCGAGCGAAAATTATCGACAAAGTTTCAGTTAAATTATTGTTCTTGTGCATATATTAATGATATTCTTCAAAGTGAACTGAGACTAATTATAAATAGTCTTTCTTGTGGACAAAAACAAACTTCTTGGAATGAGGAGACGAAGATTATCAAGTTTGTGTAATTTATTTTACTCAAATAGTCTTATGTTGAATTGGAGACTTAAATTAGCCATTAATAGGACATGTTATGCAGCCCAACTCGTCATTATTCAAAAGACAAGGTCTATGTTTCAACAAAAACCCAGACAGTATGTAAGCCATTGTGTTACATCCCACTGTGTCTATAAATTAACGTGTATGTGCGCACATAGGGAGGAGCCATCTTGATCTGCAAGTAAGTGTAGTTGAATACATACCTAAATGGTTGTAAAAACAAATGAATTCCAATGGTCAAGTAAGATCATAGGGTAGATAACTATCTTGCTCTATTGTGAGATATTTGGTTGTGATCGGTCATAAGGTTGATATCAAGTCAACTTTGTAGTTTTGTACAAAGCTTTCAAGGGCGTATAACAGGGTTTATTGAATTCTTGACGTTACTGAACTGAAACCCTCTTTATGTGTTCAAAAATAATTTGTTCTTACCCTTAACCTACCCTGGTAATACTGATTTATCATCCAGCGTAGTTTTCACATTATTTTTATCTACTTTATTGTTCTTCGTTTCCACTTACCATTTAATTTATCTGGTTGACCTTTTATTTCTCATATAAAGATGTCCTAACAAGTATGTGTGTAATCAGATTGGTCGAAATGTATTGCGCAAATATATTATATAATCCTGATAACCATCTTCTCATTGCATTATCGAAAGTTATCAAAATGACTAATTATTTTAAATTGATTAACAAACAACAGAATTAACAATGTAGACTTATGGAGAATGTTGAATTTAGGTCAAGATCATGAATCGATCAATGTCAGACCAATATTAAAAACCTTGAAGTACTAGATGGCCTATTCGTCCCAGTACGGGGTCGCTCATCAGTGCTCACCCACGACCTCGCTCGTTGGATTCGAACCCAGGACTTTGATCCTGCGCCCGTACGCCTAACCTCCAGATCACTGAGCTGGCGTCTATCGGTGTCAATGTCTAACTCCGACTAATCTACGATATTGCGCGACCATCTTCCATTGTCGTCCAGTGCCCCCAGGCCTTCAATGGTGGTCTAACATTGATCGATTGATGATCTCAATCAAACTGAAATATTTATTATTGAATTGAAAGTTATTTAAAAGAGATTTAAATCTTGGTCATTTTTTTCAACAATCTGAGAATGATCTTGTATAAAGTATTTATTCACTTGGATACTGTTCATAAATATTTTTCTATTACTAAACGTTGTTACATAAATAAATCATAAAAAAGCATCTATAAAAAGTTAATGTATATTATCGTTTTTATTAGCTGTAAAGTCGGCCAAAGACATTGTTCTGTACTGAATTTTACAAAGAGCATTCTACCCAATGGTGCTTGTTACACATTAGCTGGCGATTTAACCGGTAAGTTAACACGAGAATTCTCACTTTTTAGTATTCACTTTCACATGACTAAAATTTCTCTTCCTATAGTTTACATATATTCACTAGACATTCGAATAGCCAATTGGTTATCTTTAATTGGTTTTAAAAAGCAACAATGCAAGTATGCCTTCAAATTTCTGTACCTAATTTCATACAAAAGTATGCGTAGCATTGATAAAGTTACCGAAACTCTGTTTATGATAGATCATTATATTTCATCCGTATGTTTCCACGCTATTTGTTAAACATCGCATTCTTTTATTACATAGTTATAAAGAAGTACTATCATCATCAATAAGCACAAACAACTAGTAATATTACATTATTTTTAATATGGGACTGGAAGTAATGTAATTTTTTTAAGCTTTTATTAGCCTCTTGGTTAGACGTTGACTTCGTGAAATTAAGCATACACTAATATTTGGTAATAGTTGTTAGTCACAGAAATCTACTGACTATAATGACAATATGCCTTTCTTTAAAAATTAATTATAAACAATTTAGCTATAATGAAATAAATGATTAGTCAATTTTACCTAAAATGCACTGATAGAATTTATTCATTTACAAAAATATGCCTAGAGCAATAATAATATTACTGAGGAAGTTGTTTTCTGTAAGTAAAAAGACTTTATGATAAACTTTGAGAAAACATTCTTGTGGATAATTTTAATTATTATGCAACAGTGACAAACATTCAATTATCATTGAAGGTTTTTAGCTTCATTTAAAATTGTACAATAAAGATAATAATAGTAATTATTATTATTACTAATATACGAACTGATACATATATTTATTTATTACTTAGACTATTGATAAACCATTTAGAATTTCGCATTCATCATACATTACATCAGTTCGCATAGACAGAATTAAACAATGAAAGGAATTGAATGGTAAAAAAAGTAAAAATAATTATAAAATTTAATTTTCACAAAAACAAAGTGCTAAAAATGAGGGAAAATTTGTTGTAGTCTGTATCAACAATGAAAATACAAATTAATAGTTTGTTTTAGTAGAATTAATATTACTAGCTCTGTTATATTAGTGAAGCCAGGACATACTTTAATCATTATTAGGTAGGTTTGTAGCACTAGAATCTTTATTACTGTTGGATTATAGAGTATTTTGAATATTTATTTATGGTGAATAATAAGAAAGAAATGATAGTATTTTAAAACTGCAAAGACTGGGAATATATCACAGTGCCGGCAGCAGAACATCATCTGTATAGCATGATTTATTGCGTAACCTGTCTGTTGATGTATTCAAACAAATAATTAAATATCAAAATAAATATAATAACATTGATACAGAAAACGCCATAATTAGATTATAAGCATAACTCTTCTAGAAAAAATACGAAAGGGTGCTGGAGTTTATCGTGATTATGGCTATTTAGTTATATATGGTTCTTCGAAAAATAAGCATGAGTAGAGAAACATATTTATATCATAACGTCTATAAATCAAATTGTTACCGATTAATACCAAGATGATTTGCATAAGTGATTTTTGACTGCAAGATTATTTTTTAACTATCAAAAAATAGATTGATATGATCAGTTAAATTATGCCATTTCGCCGATCTCAACAATATTTCATGCAAAAAATTATGTGTATAACTGGAACATAATTTTATTGCATATAGTACAAACAAAACAAGTTCCTTTACATTAATTTAATTAGTAAATTTAGGTAATCGGTTGAAAAAAACTAACTTACATCTAAAAGTTACTTTTTGAGAAGAAAAATGATTAAGCAGTAGTAAAGAATAGGTTTTTTGCCGTTGAGTTCTAAAATTTCAATAGTACAGTGTATCAAGATTTCTAATAATGATTGATGACCATTAGGTAGTTGTTTATATTGATTATCCTGGATAACATACGTATACTGATTATTCAATAAATGTAGTACTCGAAGTAAAATTAGGCGAATTCGATTGATAATGGTATGAAACAATTAGAAAAACCCATTTCTTATGAAGATGATTAACTGTTGAACTCCAATCACTTTATATAGCGTAACAAAAATTAAGGACAGGGATGTCTCATTGTTGATTCACACAATGATCTTCGTATAAAAGTACAGACCGTATATGTGAAAAAGCTTAATAGACTAAATTCGCCATACAGATTTATAGCATCCAATCTAACTGAACATAATTATCTCCACATTATTTGTATCATTGCTATTTGAATAAATTCCCTGATTATCTTCGTCAGTGTACAGTCCATTTCACATGACTATTATCCAGGTATTTAGAATGAAATAAACAAACCAGTCCTCGAAATTGTAGCATAAATTTCAGAATAAATAAATGCACTAATCAGTCATCGTAATTTAATGTCGAAATTATTCACCTGCATGTTCCAAATTAGACAATTTTATGTTTGCCCTTATGACCAGTTCTTTTAATAACACTAAGGACTAAGCAATGTACAAGTTAACATTGGGAATAATTACACAAAGTAAATATATGGATAATCGGTACAACTTGACTAGCTTGGTTGGTTTCCTATCATTTAGTCGTATTTGTTTCTCTCTCATTATTGATTTGCAAGATGAAATCTACAAAACATCAGTCAGTATAACACAACACTGAACAAACGCTTTACTATTTCTGTTAACCAAATTATGACAATATTAAGTAGTAAATGTGAAAACCTAAGACGTTTTGTCTCATAGATCACCGTACACCCGGTCGCAATGGAATGATGTGATATCATCAACAGGTTTTGAAATCTCTCCCTTTTTACTAAACAGTAAATTTAAACAGAGTTGTATTTCATACGTTAATCACAACAATTACTACTATTACAAATACTATAGGCAAGTCTATAGATTTTTTTTCATTACCTTCATTTGTTCTATATTGGACTCTATTTGTAGTTCTAATAGTTTGCTTATTTACTCAAACCAGTATTTCAAAACTGTGCCTAGTTCAATCTGATTATCTGAGTTCAAGTAATAAAGATAAATAATAGTAGAGGAAGAAATATCAACATATATGCTTGATAAAATTAGATTTGTGCTTAAAAATATTGTTTGATAAGAAAAAAGAATCATTAACATAACTGTCTGCTAATTTAAAACCAGTTTGGTAGAGTTTTGAAGGATTTATGGCTCAGAAATAAGGTCAATAGTTGATAGACTGTAAATTATCAATACATACCAATTACTCGAAGCTCTATTCATCAAGCATTTTTCCCTTTAAAAATCTTCAAGTTCAAATAATATGTGTCATCATTGGACTGAAGGATAGTTTTTTGTCAAAACATTATGATTTCACTGAATTAAATAATGCTTACTATATAGTGACCTTATTACTTTGTAGATGAATGATTTTGAAGGAGGTTTATGTCAACAGCTACTTTATTTCACTATGTCTATATTGCAAATTGTATTATCAAGAATGGTTAAGATTGATCACAACTCTTAGAAAATGTCTATTTGCAAAAAATAACTATTGTCAGTTATAGATGTTTAGTGTTTTAATTAAAAAGTAATAATTGATATTTCCAAGAAAATATTAAGTAAAATGATTTTTCTGGGATTGTTTTGCTATTGGTTACGAATTTTTTATACAGAAATCAGTATTTCACTGAGAGACATGGATTTCTCAAAAGTCAGTCAAATATTCCCTATGGAAGCTTACTTAAATTAGTACATTTAGTAAATAATACTAGTATGTAAACTATTCGTGACAACTTTGCTTTATGTAAATCGATTACTCCTCTTGCGTCAAATAGACAAATTTAAATGAATTTAATAGTTGAATTCATGAGTTGATTGAAGCTAGACCACCATGGAAAATCTCGAAGCAATGGACGGCCATTTCATACTAATACAGGGCTCCTCAGCAGTGCACGAGTGGGATCATGTATGTTTAGTGAAACTTTAGATCTAGAAATTTGGCCATTTACATGTTTCGATTTCATCTTATTTTCAATAGAGTACGATCGTCACCTGATGTTACCGATAACTATTAGTTGTGAAGACAGTTCCGTAAACCCATAAGTTTATGAAATCTCATCAGTCAATAGAATAGGTTTTCCTGTCATTATGCTAAGAAAGTTTAAGTTATTATAGGGAAACAAACTAATAGTTGTGTTACTGTAGTGGACGCTACTCATAAGGATATTTGTAAGTAGTGTGTAGCGTTTCAATGCATTGACAGTACGGCGTTGGCAGAGCACTTGGAGACCAGACGAGAAGACAGTTCAAGTTGCAGAACACACTAAAAAATGCAAATGGACAACTGAAGGCTATGAATTTGTATTATGTTAATACTTTGTAACTTCTCGCTATAAAAATGTGTCCCGCCTACCTATTGTATTGCTTTACGTGGTCAGTTTTATTTGCTATAGAATACGACCCTTATTATTTCAAAGTAACTGAGTTGAACTTGACGAATACCAGATATCAGAATTATTCTAGAAAAAATATGTTTCACCGTTTTACGTTTGCAGGTATCACTTAAATAAATCTTTTGCGGAATCTCCGTTATTGGCAAATGAAAATTTAGATCTTTGAGAACATGATTTGTCAGTTAATACTAATTTTATAATAAATATTAATAAAATTTAAACCAAACAAACCATTGCAAAACTACTTTGTAAATGTGATACATGATGTCATTCATTTATAAGAATGTAATAAAACATGGTGTTCCTTTTGCAACAAGGGCTGGAGATTAATGAAGTGTAAAAGCATAATAACATGTAAAACTATAAGTTCATCAAAAACATAATGAACCCCTCATCATGAGTGTGTTAAAGGTAATTTATTTCAAACTCTGTAAAGCCTATAACAAAAATAGGATGACTACGTGACAACGTTGAGACACTAATTGACATTATTTCTCAAGAGAAAATCTTATTTCCAGTTTACAAATGCTTTTTAATCTGCTCATACTATAGTCGTCAATCAATTCTTTCTAAGGAAATGTTTTCATAATCTTTTTATTTTGTATTATTTTTGCATCTGCTTTGATTAAATTTCAGACAACTTTTAAATATCAGTTTTGTTGAACTGTAAACACAGTAAAAACAAGAATTATGCATCTAAAACAATCAATGACGATGCATTTTATGCTTAGTCTTTTAGCCCTATTATAATAAAAAAATTTAATTTCTCAATCTTTAGGTATAGACGAAATTCAATTAGTGTTAGATCCACAAAGTTACGATTATTTGGTGCCGAATCAAGGATTTATTGGTTTTCGTATTTTGTTACATGGATATGGTGATTCCTTATGGGGATTAATACCAACTGCTGTTTATGCTGGTCCAACATTTCATACTATGTTACGTGCAGTTGGGCTCAAAAAGGTGAATAATGTTTTGTTAAACTACATAATGGTTTAAGATTTCTATAGACATAATTGATTAATTACTGTACTATTTTTCACAGAACTTAACCTTAAAATCCCAGAATGTTTAATTCCTTGAGCCATACCTTTCTGTTAGTTTTCGAAATGGTGAAATAGATGAAGCAATATTATTTCAAAGAACAAATGTAACCATAAAATACAACAAATACAAGTTTCTAAAATGATCTTGCCACTGTCCAGATATATAAATATTCTATTTAATAAACATAATAGCTGTAAAAAATTAAATTTTTTTAAATTTATTCTCTGAAGAAGTGGCTTACACTAAGTCACGAAACGTCAGAAAATCTAATTTTTCTATTCATTGGGATATTACAAATATATTATTTATTTATAACAATGTACCCAATTCTCAATTTATTCAAAATTATCAAATCAAAACTTGGTAATGTTACTTACATAATAGCTGTATGTTTAAAATTAGGGAATATCTAAACCTTTGACAAGAATAATTCCTTTTTTGTAGAGATATTTCGTTGCGAAAATGATAAACTTATTTATAATAAATTATTTTAGCAGATAAGTGATGTATCAAAAATACAAACTTTCAATTTTTTATTTCATATTAAAATCGCCTAACAGCTTGCATTCAGATTCTTAGAAAAACTTATGAGGTATATAAAATATTAGGAAATGAAACTTTTGATAAACCAGTTACAGTTACACACATTATTACTTTTATGATATTCATTAATATTGTTTACTACTAGATCTAAGGGCATGATTTTTGTGCATTTTTTTCCTAAATATGTAAATATTAATAAAAGATCAGTTTTGTATGGGGAATAAATCATAGTTTCAAAACAATGTCTGTTCCACAGTAATCTATTGATCTTCGTATAAAGATAAGTTAAATGCTCACATTTTAAATTTTTATTTATTATTCTACATCTGATTGAAATAAACAAGGCTACTGATATTATAAGCAGAGATTGGTGGTATCTGGCATTATAATCCAGAATGCGCGTTTCGTCGTATTTGGGACTTGTCAGTTGAATGTATCTTTATTCCAGAGTTGATGTTTACTCTAGGACTCGAACCCAGTACCGATCTTTTCAAACGCCGTTACGTTATCTATTTAGCTACTGAATCCAGATAGACAACACCCATCTTTGCTTATAATGCTTGAGAGTTAAAGCAGTATTGAGGGGATCCACATGCTATGCACATATGTTGATAAGAGACTGATCAACTGCAGTCCTAAACATCATTCAAAAGGTTCAAACGAACTATACGAAAATCAATTATAGTCACTGATGTTTAATTCTCTATTATGTTTTTAATAGTTTAACAATAATGTACTTATTTTAGACAGAACAATAAAGCAATAGACGTTATTTTAGTTTGTAGCCACAAAAAATATTCTTTTATAAGTACAAATTTTATGTTTCATTCTTTTTGCTTACTTAATAAGAATTATTTTAGTTTCATAAAGCTTAACAATATTATTTGTAAGTCTCTATTGATTGATTAATGATTTCAAAGTAAAAAAAATAAACAATTAGTTGGTTATTGAATTCATGAACCTATGATTAATGGATTAAGTTAATTCCATCTATTTTTTTTGGTGCTGTAATAATATGTCATAACTGAATTAATCTAAATTAGAATCGTATATGTTTGGTTGAAAACAAAATGACAATTAAAATATTAGAAATAACTGGTATAGGTGTTCTCTATTAAATGATATGTATGGTATTATAAATAAAATACTATTTGTCTAAAAAAAATAACATGTATGTTTATCATTTGAAATAAGTGAAAGTAAGAAGTAAACTGAAAGAAAACCAAAAAGCTAAATGAAAATCAGCATTTGTTTTTGAATTAGTCGAATGAAGATAATAATTTCAAACGTTATCAATAGTTTTACTGAGATCAGCTAAGGTCTTAAGCAAACAATAACGTGTATTAATGTTTAGTGTTAGTTAACTTGTGACATACATCGATTGAAATTTTAAATTGTATTCCCATTTTTTTCTTTTTTTAACCTAAAGGAAAGTCTAGCTAAATTGAAGAAATTGTTATGAATTCCTTAGTGAGTATGGAGCAAGTTCTTTTAGGGAAGAAGAATTCAATAAACCACTTTTAAGGTTAATAGATGGTAGATTTTTTGAACTAAAGTATTCATATATTGATTAAAGAAAATATTTAGTCATGTTAGTAATATGAACCCAACTGTTACTTGAATGCATATTCTAGAGTTTTAAGCTACATGTGATAAAATACATGCATTAGTTTTACATGTATATGAAAATTCCGCTGGCGAAATCACAGAATAATTCAAAATATTTTGTGATAATATATTCAATTTATTCAACTAAAAGGATAGCTGTCGCTTAAGGCAGCTGTGATATTCTGAATATCGTTTCTTTGATTTGTATACAACTACATTTCGGGTAAATGTTTTAAAAGATATGTTATGATTTATATTGATGTTTGTCCGTAAAATATACTAACTTATTTAATTCGTTTCAAAGTGCCAATGTTCATTTAGTGAAAATAAGCGTAAGCAAACATAAATTCCAAAAAGACTAAATTCTAGAATACCAAGGCAGAAGTTCTAAGACGGAAAGTGATGGACAATTTACATTTGAGACTATTTGTTACCAACTTGTCAAACATTGAAATCAGGCAAATATCTCCTTTACTTTAGTTCATAATTTTCATTCAGTGAACGTCCAACCTTAATTAGGAAATAAAACCGATCACTCTACGGTTTCGTGAAAGTTATGTCAATATTTAACCACTAGTTTAATTTTTATACTTTTAAACGATTTAAACAACTGTGTGATTATCATAAACTATTGTTATTGAACATCTAATTTCATTTCTAACCGTTGATATGTTTTAGAATGTGACGAAACTAACGTTCAGTTTCAGTACGTTTTGAATTAACCTGTGACTAAGTTGAATCTATAATGGAATCTTTCTTTTAATTATTTAATTTCATATGAAATGCTGAGGTAAAAAAATAATATTCTATTACGATATATATATATATATATATATGTATATATATTATATATAGATTATATATATATACGGCAACTATAAAAGTCTCCTGTATAAACTTCATTCTCCGAACAGTCTGGATTCATGTTTTTTTTGTTTTCTCGTGTTTTAAAAGATAAAAATGATTTAGGAAAAAACTTCTTAGGGTAAGTTTGATTACATATTTCTTCAAACGATTATTGTTTCCTTTTTCACCATCCATCATTTTTTTTACAATGCTATTATGATAGTGTGATAGGGAACTCAGTGAAGTTTCACTCTACAACCCGTAATTTCCCTTCGGTTATCTGACAATGTCACAATGATATTCATGAATATATATTTCGTATAAAAAGTCCGTGAACATGATTTTGGGCGTAATAATCATTTTTTCCACAAACTTCCCTAAATTTATTAGCGGATTAATTCCATTCTACACATTTGTGTTGTTAAAACTAAATGTCATATTTTTGGTTTTTATTAAGAATAAGGCACCGCTTCAAATTGAAGTAAGAAACAACATACAAATGAAGAACTAAGTAATTTACTGTCTGTCACATAATTCATATATCTAGTGGTCATGTAAAAGATGTTATGATTTGTGTGTTATGGTTTATCTACTGTCTCATGAAATGTATGTTTGGAAGTTTGCGTATAAGGGAAATATGTATATGCTCTAAAAAGATTTTAACTCATCTGGTAATAATAATATTTATGCAGAACTAAACATTCATTTATGAGCTTAAAATCATATTCTGTAAATCATATTCCTCCTAAATACATAAACTGTCTTTTTTCGATGTATTCCTGTTGTTCTCTTTCTCCTCCTCTCGCTTTACTGAAAGCAAAAGTCAGAATTATTTACTGACCTTTATTTCATTTTTTGTTTTGTTTCATTATATCAATAAAAATAGTACTACCATTTGTAATAAAAATTGTTTCAGGCTTCTTTTGGTATAAGAGATATTTAAAATGTAAAAATGATTTGTTTGACTAAATCTTATGAAACGATTGGGAGGATGTGGGATACTATAATTGCATTAATATAGTTCTCACTTCCATCACCTTCTCAAATACAGTGGAATATATTTGACGTTTGGACTTTGCTGAATTATTTGGTGTAAAATAGTCATGATTGTTTATATTAAACTATTTCAGAGTTTAGTACATATTACAGTCGTATCGTATCAGTCACTAATTATTCTTGTTGGAGCTTTGCAGAACGTTTATTTTGTAGTGTATGAAGCCTAAAAATGTACATCACACTAGCTGATAAACTCTGTGGTCTCCAAGAGCGACCAAACATTGGAGTCTGAACAGATAATATCAACGAGTTAAATGAGCTTTGGAGAAAATTAAGTGTAAGAACGGGTAAAAGTGTGTCGATTTAATTTTAGTTGAATGAAAACTTTGTGAAAATATTCAGGACTTTGGAATGATGCATTATTGGATTAATATCATTTGTTTTCATCTCAGTGATATTTGAAAGCCTTTTTAATAACGTTATCGCGAGTATTGACTTGTTGTCGTTTACTTGTATCTTCCCATTGTTATTTTGGAGTGCATTTGATCAGTCTCTTGTTGACATACATCGAGGCGGTCCGTACAGGATGCACATTTGCCAATTAGAGACTGATCAACTGCAGTCCAAAATAACAATGGGAGGATACAAATAAACAGCGACAAGTGAATATAACTTCACCCCATTGCACAAGCAGGTGGCTATCATGACTCAGTAGCTAAGTGGATAGCGCGATGGCGTTTGAAGTGAAAGGTACTGGGTTCGAGTCCCAGAGTAAACATCAACTCTGAGATGCGGGTACATCCAGTTGACGAGTCCCGAATAAGACGAAACGCGCGTCCTGGATTCTACTGCCAGCCACTATCCATCTTTGTTATCGCAAGTGTTTACAGAGTTGGTAGTAAATGCTGACTGTCAAACTAAAATGAATCATCCTTTTATTATATGTCATTTGTTCATGATTTGTAGTTTTACTGTAATATCACTACATTTTATAAAATAATCTTTTTAGTCTTTTTAATTATATAGTATGTTAGGCGAATTATCAGTGAAGTACAAATATAATTTAACGTGTTATTACTTTTAAAGGTAGATATTCAAACTTAATGTCTATAACTGATATCAGTATCACACTAGTTTAATAGTCACTCTTATTAATTCTAAAGTTGACTGTAGTAAAGTTTGGTAGTGAGTGTAGTGCCGTGCTTCGATAATAGTTCATTTCGATAACCGTTATTATACCAATCTTAACGGTGTATAAAATCAGAAGGCAAAAGGAAGCGGCAACTACATTTTTATTGATAATCGATGCAGACCAGAAAGCTGTGAGCACATGAGCAAGTGTAAGTAAGCGAAACAGATGATGCATAGTGGAGATGGCTGGGAAGCCGACTCGTTATGAGCAAGCATTACTCAATATTTATAATCAGACAAAAATGAATGACAGGCATATGATGAATAGGATACGAAGGGTACACATATACGTTCATATAAAAATATAGTCAAGGTTAATAAGCGAATAATTAACAAGATCAAAATATGACTCATAATGGATGGGTGAATTAGTTTGGCCAGTAGCTAGAATAAAGTATATGGGCTTAACATATAAACCGATACTATATGAGAAGTAACTTTGTGTTTGTATATAGCATTGTTAGCTTCCCTAAGTTGAGTTTGAAAGTATTATTGTTACATTGTTTTGTTATTATTTCTATAAAATTCATACATAATTTAAAAGCAGTAACAAGAGCCCAAAAATGTATGGTTTTGATTATTTTCACTATTTGTACTTCATTTTTACTGTTGAAACAATTTTAGAGAGAGTATATTAATTTAATAAGTATATTAAATTGACTACTTTTTTCAAGCTGTTATTTCAATGAAAAATCTGCTAGACAATTAAAATTCATAATGCACTAAAAGGCTGTAAATTAGATTAGATATTTGTAATGAAGAAAAGACTGGATGAAAAAAGAATATGTTATTATTTCTATTTTTCTTAGTTAATTAATTATCATCACACTTGAATTGTAGGCTATATATATATATATATATATATATATATATATATATATATATATATATATATATATATAATTATCGTACACGTAAGAAAATTCCAGTACACTCATTTTTGTCTCTACCACTTTTTTGTTACCATAGCATCTGTTTCTTGTCTTTATATCGTCAGGATGCAACAGAAGGTATAGGTAGATACCCGGATTTATATTTCTTTGACTATAATATATGTTTATGTATATACAATATTTTACAAGCCTACTTTGATTCTCCTATATCTATCTATACATCTAGTAGAAATCTATTAGACATAAGCTGATTTCCTGTACATGGGATAAAACCAGAGAAAAAAATCACTAGATTACTACAGTATGATATACAGAAGGTAAACACATACTTACTAGCAGTAAAAAAAATAAAGGTAAACATTAAATCTTACATCAACACTAGATTTTATATGAAAAGAGCAAAGAGATGTAGGAAAATATAATCTATGTATTTCCCTAGTAAAGTTGACTGATTTTTTTATTAAAAATAAATTAAAAATTACTAATATTCTTTTGACATTTTATTCAAATTAAATTCCGGTTCATTCATATCAATTTCTATGGACGTTTTTTTAACCTACTTGTTTTTTTTTAATTTTAAAGTTCTACTACAATATTATACAGGTATGGGTATACACAATATTTATATTACAAAGTTAGTTAAGTGCTTATAGGTTAGTCATAGTAACTCTCTCCCTATATATATATATCTTTAAATTGATGAATTACAGTAAATGAATTCTAATTTTCCTTGTTCTTTTAGGGTAAAATGGGAATGAGTGGTTTCTTTTGACTTATTATTTTCTCTTTAGGTTTAATTAAAATAATTCAAATCATTTTATGATATGTTTCTACTATTTTGAAATATATAATGTTATTGTTAACTACTTATTGTAAATCATAGTGAATTAATGTAACTATGACCAATAATAATAATAATAATAATAATAATAATAATAATAAAAGTAATAACAAAATTACCGACATTAAATTATAATAAACAAAGTCCCCTTTCTCCTAAAAACATAATTCTAGTGTAAATAGATGTAAAGAAAAATAATAATAAACAAGGTAATGGCAATAATATTAATTGTAATATTGCCTACTTTTAATGTCGTATAATTTTTTCCTCATTTCCGTTTGTCGATACAATTAAAAAATTTATAGATTTCAGCAATATGTTGTATATGTACTCAGATTGCTTATTATATAACATTCTGTAAAAGGAGTTGAAAATTATGGGGTTAAGAAACATTTGAAACTCAAATATTTTACCATTGTTTTTCATCCTAAAACTTATCAGTGAAAATGATGCTCGAAAATCCTAATTTTGTGAAACTTAACTCATGTTCAGTTTTTTTTTCAATTTTCCCTTTATTTCCTATTCTAATTCGATCAAGAAGTTCCAGAACAAAACTTTTTTAGCATTAGTTTAACAAATGATTGTAGAGAATTTTAATATTATAATTTTGAAAAATTTCTTCTCAGTAATTTTCAAAAATTTTCCTCATAACTTGCTGCACAATCTGTGTGTGGTTTATTTTTTTTATAAAGATTTTTAGAAATATATTGTTTCTTCATTTTTAAGTCTGAATTTTTGTATTATAGATATATAAACAACATTGTACAAGTCAATCAGTTTGGGCTAGTTGCATGCATGATTGCATGCAAGAAATGTTATTAGCAAAATGTCAATGTCAATTGCCAGGTTAGATTTCGCTTTTCTTCACGTTTTCATTTTGCTTTTTGTTTTATTGAATTTCATTGTTTATTAACGGCAGTCATAATAATAATAATAGTAGTATTGGTCATGATAATCTTAATTTCCAATTAAAATAATTATAATGCCTTGTGAAAAACTAGTAGTTATTCGTAATTCTTAAAGTCAAGTTTTCGGATTTCTGGTTTTCAGACAGTGTATTAGTCAGAAGCCAACCCAAAGCTTTAAAACAATGTGAAACTCAAAAATTGCAACTACAAATAGTTTAATTCAATTATTATGGAGCATACTTGTTCTTTGATGTGCAATTTCAGTTAATAACTTGGAGAAGTCGTTCGAACCATGGGGTTTGTTATTTACTCATTCAGTCATAGCAACCTAAGACTTAAGAAACATAAATATAGAATCGAGTTACCGTACACTGCATCATCTCAACGTCCAAGATAAAAACAAACAAGGAGTTAGGAGTTCAAATTGCAAGATCAGTAGTTGTGGCTAATTAAACAATATATTGTTGGATAAAAACAAATAAAATTGGCTAATAGAACGTCTTTTAATAATCATTTTGAAACTCAGAAGGAAATAAAGAAAAAATGAGTTTGTCACAGCAACTTCATTAAAGCTATATTCCATTGAAATAGTGTGATAATATTCGAACCAGTAGCTCAATATTTATATATCAGATTAGTGAATTGCTCAGTCACAGGATAACTATTTACAAAATGATATGAAACTTAATACTTTTGATTGTAAACTTAATTGAATGCCACTGACCACATAGGAATGTCTTAAACTATTTTTATGTTTCACAATTAAAACAAGAACAAGATATCCAGTTCATAGTTGGTGCTATATTTCTAAATTCAATCTAACCGAATTTACCAAATACCTATACTTATGGGAAAATCATTTATGTATTTTATGTATAGGTGTTGCATAATTATTTTTATTTCATCTATATTGAATTACTAGAGATATCATATTATTGTAATGACTGAATAGAGCATACTTTCTTTAAATAATCTTATTCCCTCTATTGAATTAAAAAATGATTATACTTAATTACCCTAAACGTTCCCAGTTAATAATAATTAAAACTGTTAAATACTATGAACTTTTGTATTATTATTGTCAACTTCTAATTAAGAAAATTACTGATTCATTTTGATAATTATTCATTTTCTTCAGTCAAATCCCAATAAGTCTAAAGTTTTACTTTGATCATATTTTGTAAGACATTTAGTAAACTATATGCTGCTGTAATTAGATAATGTTCTGTTAGGTTTGTTTTACTAAAGGTATGTATTCCAATGTAACTCTATCCAGTATTCCATGAAAGGCAACAAAAAATCATTCACAATAATTGTAGCCATATATAAGTATTCCTGAACACGTAAACATTGACACCGAACTTGTATATGTTTGAAAGCGAAATATGGCAATGAACTGTCACTAAACTACAAGATTTCTGTGAAGACCTATAAATACAACACTATAGATGTTGATAATTTGGCATGATTCAGAAGAAAAATTCAACAAATTAGTAGATTAAGACATAGCAATGCCTACTGAAGTTGATTTAACTTTCGGTAAATGGCTAGATAATTAATGCAAGTTGATGAGGAATCAAACTGAATATTCACAGTATAGATAATTGTCTTTATTATGTCACAGATTTTCAATAAATCGGATTCCGTAAATAAATAATTATTTTAACCTGTTATACGAACCGGTGGTGGACGCTAATATATAGCTTAGAATCGACTATAATAAATCACTTTACACGGAAATTTTCAGTCTGGTCATTTGAACTTATAAAGAAAATGAGACATATCTTCGAAATATTATTCTCTTATGATATTGACTAGAAAGCAGATAGTATATCTGACATCTGAGAATATTTTTGTCAAATAATTTAAGTATATTTTGCAAAAATTACAGCAAATACAACATTGTCGAATTCGCCTGACTTTTATGAATGCTTTGATCACAAATTTAATTTATCAAATAGAAAACACTAACTATGAAATACAACAGAATATCAATGTTTCAAATGTCATATTCAGTGAATTTTTCCCATTTTTTCTATATTTGTGAGTCTTTCACTTAAGATTAGTGATTTTATGTCATTTAATCGATAGTAAATATTGATCTATCATTCTGTTAATTCTTGTTTTTTCCTTAGTATTTCTTGTTTGTACGTTGTTCTATTAATCACCTGCTTCTCTCTGTGTGTTAAAAATGTTCAATTGTTTAGCAATGTTTCTCGGGATTTTCGCACTTTGTAAACTATTAATTTTATTTCCACCAAAGGTTAACGGTGTATCTGTCTTGTGTCCAGAAAAAAAAGTACTCTAGTTTAATTAGCATACAGCCAAAATATTTTCTTGATAAATACTGTGATTCGACTGTATCTTGATATTTTTCTATGATATTGAAATAGTGGAGAAGATTTATAGCTCAGGTGGGTGATTTTGATGTAGGTTTGTTCTCTGAGCTTAGAGAACAGACCTACATCAAAATTTTTGTATGATAACCAACCACGTATTTTATTGTAGATGAACTCCGACTTCTAGTTTGACGTTCATATTACTTACATTCTCTTACATCATAGTTTATAAATTGACAGTCATGACCATTTGTGCGCCAAATTCAATTGATATTGATTGTTCTATTTACATCTTGGTATTTTATGGGAAAAAACAGTTTAGTGGACAGTTTGAAAGCAGTGAAGAAAGTCTATGTTAGTATGAAAATAAATCAGTAATTGAACAGAATATAACGTTGTAGCTGACTGGCTGACCGATATAACATAAGAAATAAAAAAAAATATCGTGGAAAATTGATATTTTACAACCTCTTGTATGAAACCAATGAACTAGTGATTCACCAGTGAGTAGCTTCTCTCAATGTCACTAAAATAAATTTGGAATTATTTAAATGCCAACAAATTTTACTATACCTTATATTCTAATTAGGGCTTTGAATCAAATGTTTGAATATAAAAAATATGTTATACTCTAAACAAGACATAATATTTGGTTATTATTGTGATTATTTATAGTGAATTATCCCTGTTAAACAATTATTATAAGCATTTCGTTGTGAGAAGAAATCATAACTTTGTTTTCAAAAACGTTTTTTATGAAAAATTATTTATTTCGTTATTCTAATAGTAAATTATTCCTTGTTATCTTATAGATTGTACTGTTTTTGAAATGATGAGATGTGGGTTAACTATGAATTCAATGATTGGTGAGTGAATTATTTCTGCATTCATAAATTTTACGTGGTTTTATAATTTTTTTTTAGGAATTCATTTATGTTTGAAAGCTTTAAACGGCTTTGATAATACATGTTGAAACAACAGTTTGACAATGAATAACTTAACAGTGCGGTTGGAAATTGTAGTTGAAATTAAAAGGTATAATTCAAGAAAATCTGTTGAAAATGAGGTATCTATTGAATTTCATTCTTTTTTTAGTGAAACTAAAAGTCTTGTGAGTACTAAGTCAGTCAGCTACAACGTAGGACCAGGCACATACAAGCATCGGTCCAAGTTGCCATACCTCGTTAGCACAACAAGATGAACACCGAATTCATAGAAGTAGTTAATTTAGTGGTGGTAGTATATAAAAGATAGGTTGTATATAAAGATATTGTATAGGAAGGGAGAACGTTATGAAGCAATTTTGATCTCAAGGTTTAAGGGAAGATAAAGAGTGTATATACCTACGCCATTGTGATCAATTCTGAGCCATGTCACACAATCTCCAACCATTGGTTACGATAGTCACGCGGACCCCAACCAGGTAGTCTGCATCTACCAACATGGCTCAGACTAGAAGTTAGTGACTTCAAGCACTGATGCCATGTTTTGGTTTGGCCGCCCCTAACTCTTTTCCAACGATCACCAATACTAGTCAGCATAGCGCGTCGTGGTAATCGGTGTTCAGGCATACGTAATACGTGACCTAACCATCTCAGTCGATGAAGATTCATGACCTCATCAACTGATTTACCATCATTCCCTAATACTCTTTGTCTAACCTCACTATTACTTACCCGGTGATCCCAGCAGATGTGAACAATATTTCCAAGGCATATGTGGTCAAATACTAGTAAACTACGAGTATCTTCTACTCTTAATGGCCATGTTTCACAGCCGTAAAATAGAACAGAACGAACTGCTTTTCAGTATACTCGTCCCTTAATTGATAGACGGATATCTCGTCTTCGCCATAGGTGACGTAAGTTGGTAAAAGCCAAACGAGTTTTTTGAATCCGTGCTGAGATTTCGTCAGACACCAACCCATTAGGGCTGATCAGACTTCCAAGAAAAGTGAAGTTGTCCACGCGTTCGACTACTTCACTCCCTATCCTTAGTTCAGGTGTTGACGCAGGCCAGTCCTGGAGTAACAATTTGCATTTGGATGGGGAGAAACGCATCCCAAATATCCTGGCATTATTACTCAGTTCTAACAGAAGAATCTGCATTTTGTCAGCGTCTTCACCAAACAGGACTATGTCATCTGCGTATTCTAAGTCGATAAGTGAACTTCCTGGTAGAAGATCAACTCCTGAAAATTCAGTCGACGAGTGTTATTTCCAGCAACAGGTCTATAATGAAGTTAAACAAAAGTGGGGATAGTGGACAGCCTTGACGGACACCACTTGAGGTTGTAAAATCATATGAAAGTTCGCCATAAGCTCTCACTCGACTGGTAGTGTTCGAGTAAAGAGCCTTCACAAGGTTTATGTACTTCTCAGGTATGCCTTTCAATGACAGACACTGCCACAGAACCTCTCGGTCTACAGAATCAAATGCTGCTTTCAAATCAAGAAAAACTATCATTGTCGGATGCCGATAAGCGTATATGTGCTCTAAAACTTTATGAATGGTGAATATGTGGTCGATACAGCCACGACCAGGTCTGAAGTTAGCCTGATTTTCTCGTGTTTGCAGTTCACGAGTCTTAGTTAGGCGCCCGATAATTATTGAGGCTAGTATTTTAGATACTATGTTAGTCAGACTAATCGACGCGTTCGACTACTCTACTCCCTATCTTTAGTTCAGGTGTTGATGCAGGCCAGTCCTGGAGTAAAAATTTACATTTAGAGGAGAAGAAACGTAAGCTGTTTTCCAGAGTGATAACTTTGAAGAGATAATTTTGTGTTTTTTTATATTGAGGAGTGAAGCTAATGACTTACAGAAATAATATTCAATTTAAGAAGCGTTAGAGAGTTACGATAAATAGTTGTTTTGATATTCAGGCAACAAGTCTGAAAATATCACGGGCTAGGCTACGAAAACCTTGTGCAAAAATATTTTAAAAATGATTGAACCTAGTATCCTATATTTATTTTTCGTTCAATAGTGGATCAATATGGACTTTCAATATGGAATTTGGAGAGAGATCTATGGATAAGTTGTATAAAAATTTACTGACTTCTGTTTTTCCTATTTATATGTCTATTTGAGAATTGAGTAGTCATTGACTTTGTATTTATCATCTCTAATTGTTTCTTTACTCTGTAATAAGAAATATAACAATGTTAGCGAATCTGTTTATCTTTCAATGTTAAATATAACAAATGATAGTCAAAGAGTGTCATCATTACTAGACTACAATAAAAAGCTATAATTTATTTTTAAAGACATTTAAAGACATCATTTAAATTACTTTTCATTATTATGTAGAAAGTGGTTAACTTTGAGATTGGGCATAAACATTTTAAGCAGGAACGGTTCCTCATAATTTACACCTCTTATGTCTTAATGACTGAAAAAAATAAAAACATGAAAATTTTTGAAGTCAAAATAAAATAATGATTTCTTCAACAACCGGAAGGTTTTATATACGAAGTCTAAGGATATAGAGATAGATTTTGAAAACATTATACTCGTCAGCTGATATAACCACATTGTCTGCAAATAATCATAATCATCGAGGCTAACAACTGTTTGAGTTGTTTCTTCCATAATATGTTTAATTGTTGTCTCTTGAACTTCTGATATAGAAAGCTGCCAATCATATTTTGTATTTATGTACAAATATCTTTTGTAAGGTAATCTTAACAAAGAGATCGATATATTTTGGCTAAATTTACCTACCAGATGATTGCGACTATGGAAAAATATATTCACATATGAATAATGAATGATGTGTGTACGTTATATTGTCATCTAGAAGCATCTATTTTGAGTCTTTTTATTTGTCGATAATTATACTGGGAATGAATATATTCTTTTAGAATGGAAAGTTTGCAGAATTACTAGCCATTTTTATTATTTTGTAAAAGAGGCTACTGGCTTTCATTTCGTAATTCGTAATGTATTGTAAGAATATAAGGATTTACCAGATTTGTTTATTAAAGTTAAAAGTTACAGAAATATTACTAAAATGTTGATAACTTTGTGTATTGATGAGCTTAAATAACTTATTTGAGCAATTATAACCTACATTCGCACATTTCAACAAACTTCCATCTTGAACACAATGATTACTGTTTTACTCACTAAAGTTACTAAACATTTCGAGGGAATAATTCAATAGCTGTTTTATTACTAACATTTTGTCGATAAAGTTTTGATTTAAGTTCACTGGATGCAATCAAAAAAGTTTTGATACCAGTGAATATTCATTTTAATCTGTATATTTTAAGCGTATAAACAAAGTTTGTATTCAGTCGATAAACTAATTTAAATGGAAATTTCGGAAGTTACTCGGTTGTTAATTTATTAAATCACCATCGATTTTAGAGAAGGGAAATTCTCTAAAGTCTGAACATTTGTGAGAATAGATTATTTAATGATGATTTGTTGATTGGTTGAATCTGAAATTTAAAACAGTGACGTAAAGTTCTAGGGAGCTTTGTCAGGGTCAGCGCACTAGTCATGTAAAATATAGAACTAATATTTTGTTATCTAACCCAGTAGAGTTAAATATCAACAAATAACATACACATAAACGGAACCTAAATAATAAGCACCATTACCAAGGTTTGACTTGATAGTTACAAATAATTTGAGTATTGGGTAGATTATTATAAATGAAAATAATTTATTCGAGTAGAAAAATAGGATTTTCTGACGTTTCGTGACTCAATGTAAGCCACTTCTTCAGGTAATAAGTAACTAAATTAAAATTAACCCAAGTTTAAATAGTACCGTAGTATCATTTATATTCGGGTTAATTTTAGTTTGGCTATTTATTCTTTGAAGAAGTGGTTTACATTGAATTACGAAACATCAGAGAATTTAATTTTTCTATTCATTGGAATATTGCAAATATATTATTCGTATTTAGAGGAATTTACATTAGTTAAAAAACTGCTTTGAAAACAGTTGTTTCCCAAAATTCAATCAGAAGAAAAAGTTTTTTTAAGCCTTCGGTCAAAGTTTTTAAGTCAGGTTTGGAGCCTATAAGTCATTTTCTGAGTGGCTGATTCTCTAGGCCAATCTATACATTTCCTGTCATTATTCCAACTTTTCCCAGTGTTTTATCTTATATTTTATGTCATTTTTTTTCTCTTTATTAATTTAAATAAAGCCAGAACAAATATTGATGCAAAATAATATGAATTCATTGTATTTCGTGGTTTCTCATCAGCTGCTTACAACCAAACACGTATTAGAATTTTAGCATTGGGGTAATCAATAGTGTGGAACCATTGACATAAGTGAATGTAAAGGGTTGAAATATTTATGGGAAACCTCAAACAGAAGAAGCTTGAGCATGCAATCGATGATACCACGCTCTACTGTAGATACATTGATGACACTTTTCTTGTTTGCAACAATCACAAGCACCTCATGAATCGACTCAATTTGTTTAATAAAGCACACAAGGATATAGAATTTACCATGGAACATGAAGTTGAAGTTAAATTTCATTTCCTAGATATTGGAGTTATACAAACATCAGTTGGTACATTACAAAGGCACATTCATCGCAAAAACACCTGGAGTGGATTATATCTCAATTACTACATTTGCTGTCCAATGAGTTACAAAAAGGGTATTATACGAACCCTTTTTGACTGCGCACGCAAAATCGGTTCAAATGAGTCTCTGGAGGAAGAAATCGCTCTAATCATTAAGTGCCTACGTGAAAATTCATATCCGGCGAAATTCATCCATAAACATGCAAACACCAACCCTCAAGTAAAGTATGATAGAGTGGAAAAGAAAACCTGCTTTCTATACTTACACTTCAAAGGAGATGAAATCGCTGGAATAATTAATCACAGAATTAATTCTGCGTTGAAAACGACCTACCCAGCAGCTAAACTGGAAACGGTGTGGGGAACGAACTGCTCACTGAAACAAACTAAAATTGACAAGTTCTCTCATTTACCAATTTACATGTACGTGCCAAAGCACATACATTGGAAGAACCGAGAGAAGAGTACATGTTCGCATTTCTGAGCATGTTCCAAAGAAACTGAGGCTGCGAGGGACCAGGGCTCTCAACAGTGAAGTAGCTCGGCATTTACTTGATACCGGGCACACCATTGATATTTCTCATGTTTTCAAGATTATTAGCAGACAAAGAAATACGATTGCTCTCCGGTTCGCTGAAGCGATCGCGATAAAAAACTTAAACCGGATCTATGTATTCAAAAAAAGACGGTGGTAAACTTATTACTACCCTGGTCATCCACTTCCTTTTGTTTTTTTGTTTTAGTTTTTTGGTTATTAGTTTTATTTGGGTTAATATTTAGTTTGTATTATATTCCTCTTCCATTACCCAATTCTTAAACCACCCTTTCACTCGCACATTTGCGCTCACTTGTTTCTCTTAAATTATACGAACTCTCCAAATTCTACTCAATTATTACGTAACCTATCCCATTTGTTTTTAATCCTTCATTACCTCTAAAATTATCACACATTTTATATTTTATGTATCTGAACTCCATTCAACTATTACACCACACACCCTTTATGCTTCCCTGGTTCTAATACCTAATAACCTCTGACCTTTTGTGCATACATATATATAGTTATCATTGTTAACCTTTTGTCATTCCAATCCTTTACATTCACTTATGTCAATTGTTCCACACCATTGATTACCTCAATGCTGAAATTCTAATACATATTTGGTTGTAAGCAGCCGATGAGGAACCACGAAATATAATGAATTCATATTATTCCGCATCAATGTTTTATCTTAAGTTTGGGATAATATCAAACATTTTCCCTGCTTTTTCATCCTCTGAGGGCTTGGTTATGGTTGAGAATCCAACTGATATGTTCAAAATAAAAACATTATTTATCTTTTAGAGCTTAAACGCTACAGCTATTCACTACATGTGGGCATCTTGTTTGTTACACCTCTTCTTTTGCACTTATTTTTCTTTACTTTCGCGTTTATAAGTGTAATAACTTGAAATTACATGGTTTGTGAAACTGTTTATCTATACCTGGTGTGTATATCTTAGAAACACTTTTTTAGTTCAATAAAAAAACTGTCATAGGCATGCTGTGAATTTCTAAATATTTTCAACAATAAATACACCTGTGTCGTTACCCTATTTCATTTGATATATTAAAAGGTAATATTCTCATGATCTTCATTCACATTATTTCTGATCGTAAAATTTGTATTTTAATAGGCATTACTAGGTAAATCAAATGGGTTTCAGACATAAGTACTGTAAACAAGTTTGCAAATATTGGATACACTGAAACTACCTCTTTGAAGTTCTTTGCGTACCAATGTTCAGAAATATCAATAGTAAATTTATAGGATAGTGATTGTTATGATTCAGCTTAAAATGAATTATATGTAGAATTAAATAAGAACTAAATTATGATATGCCACTTATCTACACTTTTCTAACGTATCAATGTGTCCATGCATTTACGGGGAAAACACTTTAATAAATTCTTACTCATGACAGTTGTTTTGAGTTCCATATGCACTTCAACTGTAGGAATATATGTTGTTAATCCTTACCTACTCATCTGTATCATATCTTCCACATTCGTCGATGACGCTGTCCAGGCACATGGAAGTTTCCACCTCTTCCAGAGTTCCTCTAACAAGTGTGATTGGGTTGGTGTTCTCCGTGTTGTATTTGAGGATCTTGTTTACTCCGTTGTGTCTGTTGAGGCCTACTGATGCAGAGGCTTCTGCAACACTAGTTGTCTTCAGCTGCATTTATTGGTGTGTATGGGATAGAATGACGAGATCATTTGCTCAGTTCAAATCGTCTAGTTGCATGCATGCTGTCCACTATGATCCATGCTTCTTCTAAGACATGATGGTCTTCATAATCCAGTCAACCACCAGAAGACTGAGAAACGGAGAGAGTAGGCAGCCTTGTCTGACTCCAGTCTTCACTTAGAATGCGTCTGTTAGCTGACCTCTATACACTACTCTGCAGTGTAGTCCGTCGTGTGAATTTCGTATGGTAATGGCGATTTTCTCAGATAAACCATGGTGTTGAAGCATATTCCATAAGGTTCTTTTATTCATGCTGTCAAATGATTTCTCATAGTCAAGGAAGTTGACGTTTAGTGATAAGTTTCATTCAAATTATTGTTCAAAGATGATCCTTAGTGTCGTGATTTTGCCTGTACACGACCGATCCGTGCGGAATCCGGACTGTGGATCTGGAAGTTGGACGTCTACTGAATTTTCCATCTAGTTCGATGACACTCTGTTGAAAACTTTTCATGATACGGATAATAGCGTGATGCCTCCGTAGTTGTCACACTTACCGAGATCTTCCTATGGTATATAAATGAAGTGTCCTTCTTTGCAGTCCATCCGCACTTGTTCTTCCTAGCCAATCTTCCTGAAAAAATGTGAAGCACGTTTGCGGTTACTCCTATATCTGACTTAAATGCTTCGGGTGGTATATTGTCAGGTTCTGCTGCTTTCCCACACTTGATATTTCTGATATCCATTTTAATTTCTTCGATTGTTAGTGAAGTCACAGCTATAGGAAAGTCTGTGTTTGCTGCTTCAATATCCAGTGGGCGCAGTGGGGCCTGTCTATTTAAAGGTTCTTCAAGGCGTTTTAACCACCTACTCTGCTGCTGTTTAACCCCAGTGTTTGCTTTATCTTCTTTAATTTTGACTGATTGCTCTGATTTACTAAATTTTCCTGCAAGTCTCTTCATTGTATCATTTAGTTTTCTCATATTCCTTTCTCTTGAGACTCTTTCTGATGTCGTCGCTAGGTCTTCCACATATTTTCGCTTGCCAGCTCTAGTATAATGAAAGGTAGCAAAAACCCAGTTCAGAAACATACCTAGCTAAGTTAATAAACCTTGCTCCAACTTAAGCTTTTCTGCCGTGTAACAGGCTGTCAGGTAATCTAGATTTAAACTGATTAATAGATAGTATATGTGATAAGATAGTTGATTTGCAGCATCTCTTTGAGATTTTAATGACATGTTATGTGATATCAGACCGTAATTTATGTACTTTTGGATCCGTTTTGGTGCTTGCTGGAACAGTCACAAGTAAACTTTGTAACTATTACTTTGCATATGTGCTCGGGTGGGTGGTAACTACTCAACAAAAAAGAACTTAATGTTATAACTTATGGTGTTCTTCAACCCAGATATAAGTACTGGATTAATATCTTTATGTTTGAGTAATGTGTTCTGTTAACTGGCTTGTCCTATGATTTCAATAAATGAGGATTTGACTATTCTCCGCACTGCTGTTTTCCATAAATACTTGATCATCTAGTGTTTAATATAACCAGGCTTGTATGTTTACTTCTATGAATTTTCACTTAATATTTATTTTGTCTTAACTTTCAACTAACCAGTTTGATTTACTTCCCCTCTATATGTGTAAATCAGACTTATTTGACTTTATAAATTAGATATTTCTCGTGCCTGGATTTCAATGTGATGGGCAAAGGCAAAACGACTTTCAAAAGTACCTTCTCTCCATTCTTGTGATTGTTATTCATATAATTCTGTCGGTTACATGTATTTTCTTATAGCCATTCTAGAAATGTTGTACGTATAGTTTTGTGCAATAAAAATGTATCCAGTTTGTTGAAAAATACCACATTAAAACAAGGGTTTCTGTTTAGATCCTTTGTTTATGAGATGTTTTTTTGAGCAATCACTTGAAACTTTATTTGAAATTATACTATATTCATTTGAAATACTGCATTACTCTTTTTTTAATCATTCCTTTTATTTCTCATAAACACAACTGCCATCATGATTACACCATAGAATCTCTATCGCCAGTTCAATGTCGATGTCATAATCCCTGTGAAGCAATATCTTATTCAGTGGAATCCATAACTCAAGCATTAAAATCACCATTATTATTTACACATTCTCTAAATCTATTTAATAAAATAAATCAAACCAATTTTGAATTAAACAATAATTTTCAACTATCTACTGACCAACAACAGTTTAATGACAAAATTACATCGAAAAATCAAAAATCGGCAACTGTTTCTGATGACATTAGTGATTATGATCCTAATAGCAATAACCATAAAAACCCTAAGGATTTGAAACTAAATCAACCGGAACAATTTCTCCCCATCTATAGAAAGGAGATTTGGGTAGGTTCCTGTTTTGTATTATAAATTTTTTTATCTAATCATTATTATCGCTGAAAAATTCCCATCATATAATTATGTTTTAATCATTTTTACACTATTAGAATATGCACCTTCTTTGCAAATTGTTTAATTATTTATTATTATTATGCTAGTGCAATGTCCTTTCTAAAAAAACAATTTAAAATACATTATCACTTTTAAATATTTATGTAATGTTTGAAAGAGAAATTTTTTATTACAATAGGAGTCGGTAGAGACTATTGAATTTCATAGTGAACATTAGGATCTGATCTTAGAGTTGTTCAATGCTTCATGGCTATCACTAGCTATCTAAGTAAGATCAGTCCTTGATCTACACTATGTAATCTTTTATTCTTTTATCTGTTTCGAACAGTAACTAGAGAATAGGGAAAATGAGTCAATAAGACGAATATTGTTTTAGAAAGAACATAAAATTGTGATTGGTGGATGAAACAGACATAGTAATACAAGGTCAAAGAAGTTAGTGTGGTGGTGCGCGTTTCACTCATCATTGGTGTGTTCGCTTATCGATCTTACTTTACAATCGGTTGAGTGCCAAGTACAAGATAACTTTCTCTCTAAAAACGTGGATTATTATCATAGTCAGTTTTATTGGAATTCGAAGAATAGTATGTATACTTTTGTTGACCTACATTATATATTTATTATTAAATTATTACCTAGTGTTCTTTCGAATATATTTTTTATTTCAGAATGGCTTACTCCTTCAAACATGGGCATTTCTACGCGAAGCCAATCGTACGGCATTTGAACAGTTAAGACAACTTTCTCGTCTCTTACAAAGTTTAAATCTGGATTTACAAACAGTAGAACGTGCATTTTATAAAGTTCATAGAAAACATAGATTAAATTTAGAAGCTCATGACTTAATGATTTGGGATAGCGGACGTCTATCAACAAATAAACATTCTTCTTCAGATCAATCTAACGGATCATGTATGGATAGTGAAGAACATTCTCGTATGCTAGAAAGGGTCAGCCATTTAGGAAAGGAATTCGTCCGGCTTTTTAGACAAAGCATTTTATTTCGGGACATAACATTAGTCCCAGGACTAGATTTTCATATTCATCTTGTTCGTCTGTTTTTTTTAAACGTTGTCGATGAATTGGATCATCTCGCTAATCAATCATTACACAACGATCTGTTTTCTGATGTCACAATGCTTGATTTACAACGTAAGACACATCAATGCAAGCAAACTAACAATGATTTAGTATACAACGATACTAGTTGGAAAAATCAGTTAGAACAATCACAGTTAATTGTTGCTGGTGAAGACATAACCAGACTTCAAGCTGTTCTACTAGCTACCGATTCGCAGTTCAAACAATTAAGAACGGTGTTTTCTAAATTAGTTTTGGATAATCGTGAACTAATTGAAACTGTCCCAATTAAGCGGGCTAGTTTAAATACTAAACCAGATAGCTTAATCAGGTAGGCGACCACATAAAATATTTGTTTTTTGAGATTATCATTTAAAGAAAGGCTGTTGATCTATAGTCATATTTGTATTGCGATAGTGTCATTGTTAGACAAAATGATAAAAATATACTCTCAGAAGTGAAGAAATTGGTAACATCTTTTTAGAGTTTAAGCCAGTGCATCAAACATTTGGTTACTTTACTAATATATGCAAAGATCTCCGAAAAATTCATTTCATTAAATAATTAGTGGTGTCTAGCTTCCTTATAATAACCGGAACAATCACCTGACAATCACCTCGTACTCCCTATAAACGATAGTTTTTTTGGTTTTTAGCTATATGTATTGAGATAGACTAAAAAAATTTGTAGAGTGATTTTTCGGAGATCTTTTAAATTAGTTAAACAAACTTACTTCCAATTTCGCCCTCGTAGGTGATGAGATTGAATTACATTATAAAGTACTTGTTTGTCAATTTCAATTTATACTTTCATCGGATGTTTAATGAGGCTGATGACTCTGGCAAATATTTTCATTTATCCGCAATAATGGATACCATACACTGGTAATGTGATGTATTCATAACTGGATTATATATTAAACTGCGGTTTATTTTGCATAAAAAACAGCAAATCTACAAATTAAATAAGTGAAAATTATTTCAAAAGATTTAATCATATCTTATGGACTTTGGTTTTAGCGAAAATACTTTTATTAGCATGCTGACAATTTGTGTGTTCCCATACAGAATTAAATTTTTGTTATATTTCTAAATGCCTGACCGAATTTGTTTTGTTTTCGAGATTTTTTTCTAAAATAATGTTGTTAGGTGTGTTCTTTTCTGAAAATTCAATTGTATTTTCCCACTTTTATAAATATTTCCTTCATTTTTTAAGTTATTTACCTGAATTATACATTTTGTGTTCACCACTCTTTTTTTATTTTGTTTTTCATACACGGGTGATAAAATTTAGCACCGAAGAAGGGTGAGTAAATTATCTGTATTCAATTATTTATTATTTGTGATGTTTTAAACGTTTTTTTTATTGAGCTGAAATTTAAAAGTTAAACTTATCAATGTTTTAATGAATTAATAATAATAACTTTTTTAGAAAAGTTCAGTAGTAACTTGCTCACTTTGACTCATGTAGCAAATAAACATTATTATATAATAACAATAATAAACCATATTCATTTCTGGAATTAATTTCTAAACTGAAAATCTTTAAAGTTTTTCAGCTTGATTATATAAGCATTCCAGTCGATTTTGTTGACAAATATAAATATCAGTTTATTTTTGTAAAACTATTACTTAGACCATACAATTGGTTTCATTTGTAAATTTTATTTGGACCAAAACAACATTGGAGGCAGAATAATATGAATTCATTTTATTTCGGGGTTTCCCATTGGTTACTTATTACTGTATTCGTTGTAAGGTGTAACAGTGAGATATGATAATATCTAGTAATCGACATCAATGACGGAGAGAATTACATCGACAAGGTTATATATATATATATATATATATATATATATATATATATCAGCAAATGTGAGGTCATTGTAATATCGAATTTAAGAAAGATAAGACGTGAGGCAATAATTATATGGAATGTGTGTGGTATTTGTAGAAGATTTGAGGAGCTTGGATCGGTTTCCAGTTATTTATAAATAAATATAGAAGACAAAACCATGAGGTTGTGATTGTTTAGAATTCGAAATTGATAATATGGGTTATGTAACATTTACATAAGATTTAAAGAGTCTAAATAAATTTGGATAAGTGAATTAATGAAAATACAAGTAAATGAAAGGAAAACTCTAGCGTACATGAAATAACAGTTACTTAAGTGTGTATCGTTTGGGTAAATAGACACGAAATTTCAAAATAATAGTAATAAGTTCAGGTGATATTCAAAATTGTGAATTTACCAAGGTAATGATAAATTAATTTCTGTGCCTTTCTGAACATATAAATCTGGTCTAGTTTTTCAATTGTTACTGCTTCAGCAAATCAAAGAAAAGCCCCGCTTTTGGTTACGGACAACCTTTGTTACTCTAGTTCTTCTCGTCATCATTGTCGATTACTCTGTAGTATCATATCTCACTTACACTTTACAATGAATACAGTTGTAAGCAACCAATGAGAAACTTCGAAATAAAATGAATTCATATTATTCTGCATGAATTGTCGTTTCTTCTTGATTCAACTTACTTATATGTTGTTACTTTAAGTAAATATAGGCTTTGTAAACTACTGATTCTGTTCACCTTTTTACATTTGTATACATTTATTTTAAATGATTTTCCTCAAAATGTTCACTTGTGTATAATAATCGTATTTCCTCAAAAATAGCAACAGGCAGAATGGTAGCAACATCCATAAAAAAAATATTTTCAAAAGATGACACCTCTATAATTGCATTATTTTATTAATCATCATATGAAGTTTTTAATTAAGAGATCATATGAATTTAAGTTACCAAACTGAATAATGTAACAAAAGTGAAATAATATGTGATAAAGAAATAAAATGAAAACAAGGATTAGAACTATACTAGAGAAAAAGAGATTTTAAGAGTTTAAGCAAAATGCAATTAACATTATTGCGGTTAAATGAGTTAAATAAGTCCTGTTTCGATATAAAATTTAAGTTATGAACTATTATGGCTTTCTTAGTTTTAAGACATATATGACAAATATTTCTCACATCGTTTGACTGAATCAGCAAAATAAAAAAAAAGATTTGTAAACTCATCAAATGTACAAAAGCATTAGAATAGTTTACCTTATGCAATCAATTATTCATATCTTCAGAAGTGGATCTTAAGAACAGAATGGAGATACGGTTGGTGTATTGTATCCCAAAGTAATAGCTCTTTTGACGGATAGATACAGGAGTGGTAAGAAATAGTAGCTTTTAAATTATAGATATTCAAAACACTAGGTACATGTAGAAGATTTAATGGGTTTAACTTCTAAGCAGCAAAGATTGTCGATCTATACTCATACTACAATAAAATGAAGTATGCATAAACATATACGGGTAATACGAAAATATATTGTTTTGGTCCGTGTGGGGTAAAATATTGGTTAAGAAATCGTTTTGGTGGAGAAAACAACTAGTCGATTGTTGTAAAACTTCAGAGCAAGACAGTAAAGTTCCAAAAGTCACGAATGTTTAAAGTTTGGTCGAAAGTATTCATTCATTTTTAACTTCAATAAAATAAACATTACAAAGTTGAAATCATGAGTCAATTGAAGCTAGACCACCATCGAAAACCTGGAAGCACTGAACGGCCGTTTCGTCCTATTATGGGACTCCTCAGCGGTGCGCATCCACGAACCCGCTCTCGCGAGACTCGAACCCAGAACCTACCAGTTTCGAGCCGAAGCCCTTAACCGATAGACCACTGAGCTGGCATCCAACGGTGTTAATGTCTAACTTCAACTGATCCACGAAGTTGAGCAACCATTCACCAATTGTCTTCAGGAGTTCCTATCTCACAACGGACGTGGTTGAACTCCACTGGTCACTGCTTCCCACTAGAACTCCAGGACATGTATCTTGAAGTCAGTCACTAGTGAGCATATGATTATATTTAGAAGGGGATTTGTGGAGATTTCAGTATTTTTCAAAGTTGAAATCATGAGTCAATTGAAGCTAGACCACCATGGAAAACCTGGAAGCACTGGACGGCCGTTTCGTCCTATTATGGGACTCCTCGACAGTGCGCATCCACGAACCCGCTCTGGTAGGTTCTGGGTTCGAGTCTCGCGAGAGCGGGACTCATGATTTCAACTTTGAAAAATACTGAAATTTCCACAAATCCCTTTCTAAAAATAAACATTACTTGGGAAATCATTACACCGAAAAGAAAACTATAATGTATATCTTGGTTCTTTTGAGATATTTCCGGCATAGATTAAAATTTCCTCATATCAGCGTAACCGACAGTATTCGTATTAATTTTGGTGTTTACATATTAGGGATAGTTTCAATTCATCAAACTGATTGTTTAACGAGAATCAAAAGCCAAAATTGGGTAGTCTTATTCAAGTCTGTTAACTTTTATCTAATTAATAATGTCTATAATTACTGCATGTGAATGATAAATGTGACTATTTCTTCGTGATATCAAGACAATAAAAAAATCTGAAACTTCTCTGTTTTGTGATAAAATCATTAATAAGGGTATATCTATAATTAATGAGCTTACAGTAAACATATGAATAACAGCTGTAAGAAATACGACTAAATAAACGTTTACTCCAGTGAGAAGATCGCTAGTTAAAATCTGTTCAGTCGTTCCTTCCCCGTGATAGATTACTAAAACAATTACACACTTAGAGCGCTACCATAACACTTGGATAATAGCTTGAGAATCCTTTTAGCGATCACTTTTGGAAGCCGGAATGAGAAATTACGTAGTTAGTTTTCAACGAGTTGTGAGTAGAAGTGAAGAACAACTGTTTATTTATCGTTAAAGACTCTTCAAAAATGTATAACCATCTTATCTTAGGCTAGAATCCAAGACAAAACGATTATTCGGTACTAATTTTAAAAATATAGGGTCTTTAGAAAAGCCCCATTGGTATTGAAAATTACCACCTAAAATACTTATTTGGGCAGAAGAAAATTTATTGGCATAGTTCGGAAATGCAATGCAAGTATACAGTAAATAGATGCAAATTTTAGGAAGTAATTATTAAATATTTAACTGTATAGATGATATAATGTTAGTAGATAGTTTTATTGTGAATATCTTGCGCTCTACAAAAATATAAATTGTAACAACATTGAATGTGCATATAGCTAACAGACTTCCATACAATACATTTCTAATATTACTTCTGACTATTTTCATTCATCTTTTATTTTTACTTTATTTGTGATAACCTTTCATTCCAAGTGTTTCTACTAAGGTTTCGTAATTCAACATAAGTAGTTCTTCTAAAGTTATGTAAGTAAATCATTCTCTAGACGAGATTATCTACTTTTTTATTTAAACTGGTCACGTTCCCCCTTCTTTAAGATGATATACACAGCAACATAAACCGCAGTAAAAATTAAAAACATAAAAAATCTTTGATGAATATATCTGGAGCAATAGAGAATACTATTATCATTAGTAATTTTCTACTGTTTTTATATTTGGCTATATATCTTTGGTTAGAGTAAAAAATTATTTTTGATTAACACCAATTTTTCCCCTCCACTTATGTTATTTTTCACATTTTACTTTTGGTGATCTCTTCTTTTTTATATTGTATTGTGTTCAATTCATATATTCGCGTACATATGGTCAAATTGTGTACGTGTATATGTGTATGTGTATTTACTCCGATTACTAATAAATGAAAAATTAACTATTATATAATTCAACATTGTTATTCTCAAAAATCAACTACAAATTATATGAATGAATAATTAAAAATAAACGAACAATAGATTAGTCAGTGTTACAATACAACTGACAAGGGACAAAAATCGTCTTATACGTTTGGAATCAGTACAAGCAATTTATAGTCCAATAGGTAAGTGTGATTATTTATTGTATTTCTTCATTTAATTTATCATTATATTGTCTTGATACTCACTTCTATTTCAATTGTCCAATATTGTTTGTTTCCATTTTCATGTCTATGTGACTGTTTGTATCTGTTTTGCATGTGTGCACGTGGGTGTTGATACGATTGTACACTCTTATTGCTTCTTTAATCATTCATTCACTGACTGTATCTAAAATTAACTTTATTAAATTAAATAACTTGGTTAGGGATTATAATCTATTTTTGTCTCTTCTTCACAAGTATTACGTGAATTTAAAATCTACTGTCTATTTATCATTTCTGCTTACGATTGGCATATATATAATCTGTTCTACTGAACAGTAATCATCGAGTCAACATGAAAAACTCTTAAACAGAATATATATTCCTGTTCTTCGTAATGGATTAATAGGTGGTTCGAATTACTTCTCAACGAGTCTTATTTAGGCTTAAATCATGAAAGCGTTTTTATATATTCTTTAACCATTCTAAAATAGATGGAGTTCGATTTGCATTCTCTTTTAAGTAGTTTGAATAAAAAAAAAACTAAGGAGCACCAAAACAAATATTCATCTGATGACAGTTAATCACGTAGACCATCTTCATAAAGTAATTATGTCATTTTGTAATGTCATTATAACAATAGTACTTATCCATTTATCACTTTAAAAATGTTATGGTTTTCTTGAAAACCGGATACATGACACACGTTTTCTGTAACCTTTTGGTATAATAGATTTTAAATGCATAAAAAAGTGGGAATATTTAAAAGTTGAAAAAAGCTGCTTTGACCTGGTTTAAGAAATATTTTCATGTATTCGATTTCTTAATTATGGAACATTAGGAATAAATTATAACCAATTTTTTAAACCGCTGCAAAAATGACTATGTCCGTTTGATTCATCTTATCTTCAACATGTGAGGGATCGTTTTAGACTGCTTTTTACTAAAGAGAAAGTGATTAGTATTATCGTAATGAAAATCGCTTTTATTGTTCGTCCCATTATCGATTGTTTAATTCGTCTGAAAATAAATATCATGCAATAAATGATTCGTCATTCCATTCCTCAATTTATTTTTATTTTAATTTTTTATATCTTTTGACATATTATTTTAACTTATTAGACTCGGAACTCTAATCATATTATCCAACTTTTCTTTACCTAGCTGAACTATTGGATCTAATTGTATCTGGTCTATTGCTTGCGTTTCTATCTATCTTCCTTTTAAATATTTGTGTTTCACATCCAAACAATTCGGATTCTTGCTATTCTGAATGCTGTTGCTGTTGTTCCACTCTCGTAAATAAATCTACTAATTCTAAATCATGTGAATCACCGAAATTGGCTACTCATACAACTTTACCTACATCTTCATATATTAATTGTAATACAGATAGTGGAAGTTCCAGTAAACGTCTGCCAAAACTCAATACTATCTCATATAGAAATTACAGTGATTTAGTACCAACTGATATTCTACAGAAAAAACCCACAATGAGTTCAGTTTATCTGTGTGATTCTCATCAACAGGATGGAGTCCCGATTTCAAGTAAATGTATAATTACTGGTTTACCAATTACCAGTGTAAGTTGGTTATCTTTAAATGCCTCACAGCTAGACGAATTGTAATTTTAAATGTTGAAGGGTTTTTAAATAAATAAACAATTACACAATACGAAAGAAATATGTTTAGTTCAGTAGAAACATAAAAAATTGACAAAGTTTCAGAAGTTAGTATAAGAAAAGATGCAGTATAAATAATTTATTTATGGCTTTTAATGAACTCACTGTGCTCATTTATTCATAAAGAGATTTATCATTGGTGATCATGACAAGATCAGTAAGCTTGGATATACAAACTGCATAAAAATGTTTAGGATCCTCCTTTACCATGAAGACTAATTTTAGTGTTAACTTATACTATACTATAGACCACTATTCATCAAATATAATTCTTATATAATTATTCCTAATTATATATATAATATTATGTTTACTTGTTTATTTATTTAAACATATAAATATTGGTACAATGAAGCACCAGATACATATGCGCCACACAAATCTCATTTGATTTGTGTGAGGGCTGTGATACTGCCCAGGTGCCCGAACTGAAGCAGGTGGTTTTCTTAGGGGGCCACACCCGGAGCCTTCGACCTGAAGGTCTAGTCCACAAGGCAGTGGAGCATCGTGAGGAGATGCATTCCCATGGTAGCCGGTGACCAACGATTGATTCATACGCCAATTGTTCCCTCAGGATACTGGAGCCCATGTGCACCATTGGTTTGGAATCAGGGTTTTCCAACTCCCCTAGGTGGACTCGCCTTGTCCACCGACCCGGTTAAAGCGCCGGACATTCGCTTTTCGTCCTCTCACTTTCGTAAACAACACCCCCGCTACGAGGTGGCAGTGAGTAGGACTTCCCTGACAGAGGCTATATATTCGCTGGCTATGTTGGAGCATTTCGAGAGGGAGAGGTGACTCTCCCCACTGTCGGCCGTACCAGGGCATTTGGGGGCATAATATTATATAGGTTTTCTGCTTACCGTTATAACAGTTAAATGTTCATTTTTCTTTTAGTTTAGGGTAGATGGTTTTATTTTACTAGTTATTTTGCCTTATTTTATTAAACGGAAATAGTGAACAAGTTTAGAAGAATGTTACAGAAGTTCACTTTTTGTGGACTATAGTTACTTGTTTAAATAATAGCGTTGACTGGGAGAGGTGTAATGGATTAAGGAATGTTTATGACAAGAATATCGGTTATATGATAAATGACTGAAAATATCTGATTTCAGGAAAGCATTTCACCATTTTACTGAAACCATAACATCTTTATTTATCGGTGGTTGAGCTTGTAGCTGACATGAAGATATACGAATAATAAAAAATCTACTAGAGATATGAGATACTGTGTTTTATGTACTGGTAATAGATTTACGTAAAAAGTTGATAATTATTTTCGTTTTTGTTAACTCTTCGCTTTAATGAAAGCGAAACATTTCATTACAACCTGTAAATCCAATAGTGACTAGATTTCACTGTCATCATAATTTTCGCTTGATACAAGTTTAGGTTTTGTAATCCAATGTCCAGTAAATTAAGCCTACTTTAAAGGAGCAGTAATAAAAAATGATACGGTCTTCTTTTATACATCATTAATGTCTTGATTACGTTCAAATCTCTATCAGTTCTGTTCGAGTTTCGTTCTCCGAATGACTATTCATCGCTTCCTGCTAAAACACACAACATAATACATGTAGAATAATATGTGACGTGACAGCAAGTCAGCTAATTCAACTAATTACTTAACCAAATTCAACAGTGTTATCTTCAATAGCATTTGCATCTTTAATAGAGAGTAATATTCTTATATGCATGTTACGGTAATAAAATATCATTTAGGTATGTTTTGATGAGTTACCTTCGGAGACATTTATGAATCCATAAATGTAGTCGTAATATTATGTTTTCTTCCTCAAGTGGTATGTCTTAAACACCAATTCAGCAAACATCGTGGGCATAAAAGTTTAGAGTTACATCCTGCAGACAACTAATGCTTTTTAAATACTCTGTTGCTTAGCTAAGTAGTTATTGATATTAACAAATTCAAAACATATGTACCTAAACATATCCACGGTATTGAACTATAACTATCATACCTTTGATAAAAAAACTACTAAAATATATCACTTCTATTTGGAGTCATTAAAAATTAGATGACCATACACTTTCTTTTTATGTTGAATAAGATTAAGTGTTTACTTTTCTAATTAAATTAGACTTTATTTTCTTCATCTTATACATAAACTCCATTAAATATTTACAGTTCAAAGATTTTTAGTGTAATTATTGTTTACAGAATAAGCCATGTGCAAAATGTTTTGGTGAGAATTGCCGACATAATTTCAATATGTGTCCAAATGAATCATCACAATATATGACATATAATTTACCTACTTTACTGGGATCTTCAGTGACATTACCAAAATGGGACAACAAGGTTCTCCAACTCGATATGGATGGTTTTAACTGCATGGATGCATCTGAGCATTCTGCCACTGAATGTGATGGTGAACAGTCACATGCAAACACAAGTAAGTACTATTCATCTGACATTTTGATTGCTGTTACGATAATATCCCTTTTCTTTTACGAAATAATACACCACTCTCAATAGACTTAGTTTTTATCTGCGTAAATCACTTGAACTCGGTGGCTTGTTTTAAATAACTTTAATGATATATAATCCTTAAAAATAAGTTTCCATATTCATTTACAAAGCGTTTTATACATATTTGCATTTGTCAGCTCACGTATTCAAATAATGGCTACATTTCTAATGCTAGTCGTTTTTAACCCATGTAATTTTGATCTATTTACTTCTGATAAAGCCACTCCTGTCAGTTTAGAATGACATTTAAAATATATCAGAGCAGGGTTTCTGTAAAACAGTTTCATCTTTAAAGCGATTAATAAAGTTCTACCTCAGTGGTAAGTATGTGGTGAATGAAAACTTGGTGACAATAACCAATTTATTGTTTAGTGCAAAATTACAGAATGTCTTAGTAAATTATGAAAACTATACACTGAATACTTTATTTGCACATCTTCCATCAGTTGTCCTCTATATCCTTCATGATTCTTCCGATTCTCAATTCCTTTATGTCTCCCTTTCTGTTTTCTTCAGTTCAATCTTCTCAACCTTCTTTTCAAAGGCATTCCACTTCTGATCGGTGTTACATCTGGAAACAGTAATCAAAGTTTGTTCGTTTAGTGAAAATAAAGTTCAACCTCAACTGCGTTCTTGAAAATACAGAAGTGACCTTTATTTTGATTTTTAAAAGTAGTTTATTTCCAAATTCATGTAGAGTTCTTTTAAGAAAAAAGTGTATGAGGATTTTGCCTAGAGTCTATTTGGAAGTTAAACTGCTATTGCCTACTTACTTACTTATGCCTGTTACCCCACCAGAAGGAGCATAGGTCACCCACCAGGATTCTCCATCAAACTATTTCCTAGATCCTCCTTCCTAAATGTTTCCAGTCACAATTTATTCTATTGATGTCCACCTCCAATGCCTGGTGACATGTGTTCTTTATTCTTTCTATTTCCATTTTCTCTTTGAGATTCCAAGTTAGAGCTTGATTCGTGATGCAGTTTGATGATTTTCGTAATGTATATCCTATCCATCTCTAGAGTAATTCCTTAGTTTACCCTTCAGCTTCAAGTTGTTTTGTTTTCTCTCACACTAAGCTGTTGCTCATGGTATCCGGTCAATGGACATTCAGTGTCTTACGTAAACAGTTGCCTAGAAATAACGATACGTTTTTGATGATGGTTGTAGTAGTTGTTCAAGTTTCAGTTGCGTACAGTAGAACCGTCTTTGACGTCTACTGAATCTTTCATCTAATTCAGTAACACTCTGTTGAAAACTTTTCATGATACGGATAGTAGCATGATGCCTCTGTAGTTGTCATACTTACTGAGATCTCCTTCCTATGGTATATTGATGAGGTGTCCTTTTTCCGATCTGTCTCTCAGGTAATTTAAATAACTCATTGTGTCTTTCAATAGAAATAAAGAGAATTCAGCGAGGAAGATTTTCGTTTCTGTGAAATCATTTACTCAAGCTGTACGTTAAACGTATGTCTATAGAAGGACGGAAAGTATTGCATTATAGAGTGATTCGGGACTACAAATATCAAGTGAGTTTTTCATTTTTTCACATCTGTCAAGCGGAGAATTGTCTTTCATAATTCTGGCCCGTAAATAATTTTCATCATTATATTCCCCTCTAACCGCCTGATTATTAAGCAACCTTATCTCATAGTTTGAGTATCGAATAACTTTTTATGTTGCAATCTTTTTCAATCCTTCTGCAGACATATATTTACCGTACTACCATAAATACGAATGTATTGCTTAAGTAAATGATTTCGTCGAAAAGTTTCTTCGCTGTATTCTCTTTATTTTGTTCTTTGTCAAATGACTTATTTAATTATATATTGTTTCTAAAACTGAAAATTTTCTAAACATTTCCCTTTTAATAAAAGTTGAAATTATTTTTCAGTCAGCATTTCAAAAGTAGACATTTTCCGGCATTTGTACAACAGATTTTTTTAATTGAGAAATTTTTTGTTCTCAGTTTGACTGTTTTCATATTTTGTTTGTTCTTAAGCACAATCGGCTGGCGTTATCAGAAACAACAACAGTAACAAACCATTTCATCAAATATTTCCCCAGAATAAAAATTGAGGACAAATGTAGCTTTTATGCGACTTAGTTTGTGGAGTACACCTAATAAATGTATTTTATTATGTATAAGTATAACCTAGTTCCAAAGGATTCATCTTCGTACAAACATACATGCACATATTGATAAACAATACTTTTGTTACAATGGTAGTAAAATATTTTGAGGTTAAAGATGTTCATAAATTCACCCTGTTTAACCCCTATATGTTTACCTTTCAAATGTTTATATTTCTTGTGAAATATTAAAGTTGTAGGAGTTACATATAACAAATATGATGCATAACAAAAAAACAACACTTTATGGTTCATTTATTCTATTCTTTTGTTGTTTTTTTCTGTTAGAAAATAAGTATCTCATGCGTTCTGATCTTATCTACTTTTTATTGAATATTTTCTTTCGTTTTATTTGTGGTTTATTCATTTATGCTGTAAAATATATCACTTGAATGTGTATACTTTGATACATAGATTTACTTTGAAGCTATTCAGTTGTGTGTTAACTATCATGTTTAAGGCATTCTAAAAAGAACTTATAAGATTTTCTTTTATCTGACAGTCTTTATAGATTTTATCCCATACTGCTGCAAATAGTCGATGCCAGTGAGTGAGATTTGTGCTTACAGGAAGTCAATAGGAAAAAATTATCCTTAAACTATCCACGTACATACCTAAACACAAGTTTCAAATATCGTACTAAATTTCCCCTAAATTTTTTTACAGTTTAAAACATTTGTAACTTCGAAGTTTATAACACCATCTGACGTTATCTAGGTAAATATCCGTGACTAGATTTGTATGGTTTCTAAACATCCAGTGAGCTGTGGCCAAAGAAGTTTGATTTTATTTTGTGTGAAGTGACTCTTGGTTCCTCATTATCATCAGTCTAATCAAGTTAAGGATGTGAAAACGTGGGCGTCGATCCACTGGTCTAAAATTAAGGAATTCATTGTGAATCCTAGTTGTTTTTGGTCTGAATCCAGGAAAGGCCTAAATCTAAAGTGCTGAGATACCCCATACTAAGATGACACAGTTGTTCACTAATTTATGGTTTTCTATGGTTATTGAAGTAATTTTAATGCGTTAAGTGAAATATCGTCAATTTGAGAAACATTTATCATTCTATTCTATTAAACATTTTTCATCCTTATCAAAATTAGATCATCATTATTTATGTCATCAACAACAATCACTTCCACGACAACGACAACAATTAAATCATCAACAAAACAGTGTCAACGAATCCTGTATTAGTTTTTGTGATTGTCCGTATTCCATGGAAGATAATACAAGAACAGATTCTGCATCATGTTTAAATTCAAATAAACTTTTATTTTGTAATAATCATTTAAACACTGGGAGAAATTGTTCTTCCATTAGAAAACCAACTGATATTAATTATAGTAAAAATGAAATGTTAAATTGTTTAATAATAACACCACAACAACAGGATACAACAACATTTAATGAAGTCACGCCAAATATTGTAACAACACATCAGTTGCCATTCAGTGTTGATTTACTTCAGTCATCACAATTGTTAGATAATAGGACAACACTATCAGTAAACACATCACATTAAGATAGACTGTTTTAGGGAGTACAAACAGAACTGTAATATCAGAGTTATGTATTAGGTAAGTTAATTCCTATAATGTAATATTCAGACATATCGATTTTTAATGCCGGTATTCTCAAATAAAGGATAATATCATGTGGTCACAGAAAAGAGTGCACTGTCAGTTAAAAAGTCCTTTTGACTTGTTTCTGCACACTTGTTTCGTTTATGATTATGTATTTTGTATGTATCTCATGCTTCACATTAATAAAAACTTATTATGAATGTTCACTTGAAATAAAATTATGAATCACATCCGTTTCAATAATGTCGTACCACTAGTTTTTTAATTTGGGCTGCATTTTTGTATTGACGTGATTATGACTGTAAATTGACAAGTGTACCATTGTAGTGGCTTTGCTTCTCCAATCGTTCACCTCAATAACCATTATAACATAAATCTCAACGGTGTGTAAAATCAGAAGGCAAAGAGAAGCGGCAACTACAGTTTATTAGCGGATAGCACAGGCCACAACTCTATAAGCACATACAGAGAATTTGAAACAGATAGGAAAATAAGTATATGCGAGCAGTTATATAGGTAAATTTAGAGTCAAGTTGTATAAAGGCGCAGCAAAACAAAAGTTAATAGTGGGATTTGAGTGCATACATATATGGGGAGAAGGATGGATCACCGAATGATACTTAAGCAAACAACATTTTAGCTAGTCTGTCATGTACTTTAGTGATCATAACAGTACAAAGAAATGACATTGTCTGTTGAGTAAGTTAATAAAAGGGCTCAACCAAAATTAAACGTAATCGAAATCGATTGCTATACCATAATTACTTTCAGGATCTATTGTAATTAGAAATCGATGATGACTTGTGCATCTCAAAAACGCCCTATAATAAGAACTAATTGGGAAGAGATATTAATATAAAAAGAAAAAACTTAAAGGCTTGATGTTATAAAATTTTTTTATCTAGACTACATTTTAAGTAATTATATTACTATAATTCAGCAACTGGCCTGAGCATTATGGAAGATTTAAATATAGACATAACAAATATTGATGCAAAATAATATGAATTCATTATATTTCGTGGTTTCTCATAAAACCAAATACGTATTCAAATTTTAGCATTGGGGTAATCAATAGTGTAGAACAATTGGCGTAAGTGAATGTAAAGGATTGGAATGACAAAAGGTTATATATATATATATATATACATATATATGCAAGGAAAGGTCAGAGGTTATTAGGTATTAGAATGAAGGAAGCCTAAAGGGTGGGTGGCGTAATCGTTGAATGGAGTTCAAAGACAGATAAGATCAAATGTGTGATAATTTTAGAGGTAATGAAGGAGTCATGGAATTAAAATCAAATAGGGTGGGTTATGTAATAGTTGAATAGAAAGACTTGGTTAGTGATTGAACGTTGTAGACTACTGTGGTTTATCACAACCTACAAACATTATTATTGTATTCTTGCATATCCTTATCCGCTGTTGCCTATATTTGTTGTTTTTAATTTATTGCATTTTATTACTGATTTGCTTTAAATATACCTCTGCTCCTTTAAAATGGAACACCTTTGCTAACTCATTCGTGTACTAATCTTACATTGTCTGAAGTCAATTCACATAAATAAGGAAGAATGAAAGCATAAAAAAGCTTATTGTGCGCTGAAGCGGTCACAAGAACAGATTTTACATTAAATCTTTCAGTCTATCAAATATACTTTTGTTTTACATCAATGTTTTCAGTTAGTGTTGTGTTAAACAGGTTAATGGTTTCTGTTACTTACTCTACTAATAGTTATTGATCTAATACTATAAACATGTAGATTGTTCTTGATGAACCATTAGTGAGTGAGTTGGAAGGGTGTGACAGTTTACGACAATTGATATGGTTTGCCTCAATTTATATAATCCCTCTCAATTTATTGCAAGAACTCTTTCTATGGTATTCTTGCAAAACTTGTTTAGAGAATCCAACTTATAACTAAGTATAATTTTAGGGTTTATAAGGATGAATGTTGCTTTGAGAATGTAGAGTAACTTCCACAACAGTTTATTCTTATAAACTGTATTCCTATTAATAACTTTAAATGGGTAAAAGCTGTGATACAGTTACTATTTTATGACTCTAAACCAGTTTACATTAAGTATATAAAACTTTAATTGGGTTACAGACTGCCAATGGTATTACTTTGAAATGCTTCTTGACAAAATGTGATCAAATTCGACAAAACTTTGATACTTATTATTATTCATTGCGTACGAGTGACTCTTTCAAAAAAATTGATATTCCCATTTTTTGTGAAACCGTTGGAAATATTATTGTTAGTTACAAATATACAGTTCAATATTTGTATACATTTATTTGAAAACCAAGGTTAAGGATATTATTAGTCAGTCTTAAATTCCAAAAATACATGGAAAATATTCTTAAATAATGAGCAGTAGGAAACTCAAACAAATTTAGCCTTCTTAAAATGTCGTAGAAGAAGATAATATGATACTTATACAAGAGGCATTTGAAGAACTAATCTACGAATTTCTGTCCAAGACCTTTAAATAATAATTGTTCCATTGCTTCATTAGAAAGTGTCAGTGATACGTACTTTTTAAGAAGTTTATTTTAGAATCCATTCACTTTGAAAATGAACAGTGTTTTCAAAATTATTGGTTGCTCGAAAAATGTAATTATTATTCAGTTAGATGATTTGACGGCTTTTAATGCATCTTCTGCTTTTCTCCTTTTACTTCTGGTGTATTAAAATGTATTATGTACTTATGCCTGTTACTCCCAATGGAGCATAGACCGCCGACCAGAGTTCTCTAACCCACTCTGTTCTGGGCCTTCCTTTCTAATTCGATCCTATTTTCGTTCATTCTTCTTATGTCTGTCTCCATTTCTCGGTGTAATGTGTTCTTTGGTCTTCCTCTTTTACTTTGGCCTTCAGGATTCCACGTGAGGGCTTGTCATGTGACGCAGTTGGGTGATTTCCTAGATGTGTGTCCTATCCACTTCCAGCGCTTCTTCCTGATTTTTCCTCCGCTGGAATCTGGTTTGTTTTCTCTCATAGTAGAATGTTGTTGATAGTGTCTGGCCAACGGATCCGAAGTATCTTGTGTAGACAATTGTTAACAAACACTTGTATCTTCTGGATGATGGCTTTCGTAGTTCCCCAAGTTTCCGTCCAATACAGTAGAACTGTCTTGACATTTGTATTGAAAATTCTGATATTGGTGTTGGTTGACAATTGTTTTGAGTTCCAGAATTAAAACGTATACAGTAGTTTTATATCAAAAAACTATAATCAGTGAGTATACAAGGCGTCATGATTGCATGCAACCTAAAATTCAATCGTCTAAATCTAGTAATTGTTCGTCTATTCATATTACATCTTAAATAAAGTTCTCAGTAAGCATGTCAAATTTTTTATTCTAATCGTGCTCGTCGAAAATATTTTATAAATTATATTTGAATTATTATGCCCAGAGAAGGCAACAGATTTCTTCCAACAATATTAGAAAATTAGCACAAAAAATACTGTTATTTTATTCGTTAGTAAACAAAGTTAATTTTTCGAATTTCTAATCATTTTAGGCACAGTTTTAATAACAGATCAGAATAATATTCATGACTGTCAATGTGCATAATGTATAATCATACACTCCAAGTTTAATCATTTTTTTCATTCCTTGAAAATATCCCATTTTATGTATTACGGTGATGTGATTACTCAGTAAAGCATTTAATGTAGATTTATTATTCAACTTTTCATTTGTATCTTGGATCTGTACATTCCCTCCACTACATACTCATCAACACATAAAAGCACATAGTTATTTGAATGCACTTGTTAAATTACCAATTAAAAATTCTGTCAAAAAACGTTCTAATCAATATGAACACTTTTTGATAGTAAGTAAAATAAACAACTTTTATTTTGTCTTTCACACAATGACACAATATACACCCCTTGTTCATAATTTTATGTTAGTGTTCCGCTTCATCTTTTAATCCTTTTTTTTTTTACAAAAAAATGATTTATTGAATGTTTTTGTTTTGTAGATTTTAACTGAACTATTCATTTACATTGTAAAACTCTATAGAATGATATTTCTAACATTATTAATAATATTGGTGTAATAATTTTCATTAATAGATCAACATTTTTGTGAAAACTGATAGACTGAAATACAATTAAATTTTCATAATATGTCTAACTTTTATATAATTCCGCATGATATAACTAAGTTTATCAATTATTCAATTAGTATTAGAATAACTTGGATTCATGAAGAATGAAATTTCTCTGATACTAAATAGAAATAGCTTATCGTCCATAACATATGTTCTAAATACTTTCAACACATAAACTTGAAGAGGTGGGTTTGGTTGGGAGTGCTAGGATTCCACTACCAGCCATAGTACATCTCTTCTATTGAAATTGGGATAAAATGGATTTATCGAGGAGATCCACAAAGCATGAAACTTTGTCAACTAATAGTGACCAAGATTCAATCAATAATATAAACAACAGGATAACTCGAACCCCTAGATTAATATGCTAAAATTACAGAAATGGAAAGAATTTTCGGAAAGGAAATAAGTTTTATTTAACATATTGATAAAAATTACAATCACCAAACGGGAACCATCATTGTAATATCTAAAGACTTTTACTGAAAAATAAATCATAATTTATTTGTTTTCACAGTAAAAGAATATAAATACTTCACTTCCTTCTAACTTAAATAATCCAATGTTAGTTCATAAGAACTTTCGTTTAGATTAGAGCAAATTGTTTCACAGTATTTGAGCGCCGAGTTGATGTAAGACATTAAATATGAATAATATATTTGTAAAATCTCAGCGAATAAATTTCAAGTAAATCCAACGTTTCACCTGGCAATCTGGTCCAAGCTTTTTCAAGGAATTATAATTCATTCACTGAGATTTTACAAACATATTGTTCCTATTTAATCCAATGTTAGACTAATTTATTGTTTAACACAATGTGACCAGTTAATTGATTATAATTTTCTGATATAACGAGTTATGAACGATGACTTTCAGGTTTCATAAACTAGACTGAGTAGTGTAGACAAATGAGTATATAAAAGGATAAAAGTCCAAGTTATTCAAAAAAAAGAAAAAAGTTTTACCATTTAATCACGAAATTCTTTTATTGAAAATCATATAATAAATGAAAATCTAGTTATGTTGATAGTTGTAATGTTGAATTTTTGACAAATTTCTTCTTTAAGTAGTAAGAAATATCACTTTTCTTTTTCTTATTGATCGGACATATTATTCCAATTACCGAAAAAAATAGTCAAATTAAATGTTTTTATAAAGAATCAATTAAATAATTTTGTTACATACATACATACATAGAAAGAATAATAATAACAAAACTAGAAAAATGACTTTTTTTCATTGAAGTAGAAAAGATTAATCATAAATAGAAAATAAATTCGAATGGAAATGAAATTATTTATAGAAAGAAATTTTTTATAAACTATTCAAGAGTTTTGTTTTCTTTCTTTAACTTATAAGTGAAATTTTTAAAAAAAGTTGTGATTTAATTGTAAGTATACAGATTATAATTTGTCTGAACAGATTGCTAATCGTTGGTTATGAAACATTATATCTTTCTGTTGATCAACAAATATAGTTGTTCAGAAGGGGTTTTGTGGAGATTTCAGTATTTTCATAGTTGAAATCATGAGTCAATTGAAGCCCACCATGGAAAACCTGTAACCACTGGACGGCCGTTTAGTCCTATTATGGGACTCCTCAACATTGCGCATCCACTAACCCGCACTCGCGGGATTGGAACCCAGGATCTACCAGTCTCGCGCCGGAGCACTTAACCGATAGACCACTGAACTAGCCGGCATCGAATGGTGTAAATGTCTAACTTCAACCCATCCACGATGTTTGAGTAACCGTTCACCAATTGTCTTCAGTGAGTTGATATCTCTACAACAGACTTGGTTGAACTCCACTGGTCACTGCTTCTCACTAGAACTCAAGGAAACATCCCTTGAAATCTATCACTAGTGAGCATATGATTATAGATCACAAAGGGTATTGTTGAGATTTCAGAATTTTCATGGTTGTTAAATCATGTTTAATGTAAAATATTACTACCACATTTATTGAACATAGACTAGTCAAGTGAATTTAGATAGCAGTATATTATAAAAGCGTTCTAAATGTTCCTTACTTCAGAACTCTATTGCTGTATGAAATTATATTTTGCATATAACAGCAAGCAGTGAAGGTGTGGCAATTCGTTTGAAACGCCATTATTAGATATAGGCAAAACAGGCTGAGAAGACTGATATTAGTCATACGCCAGTCAATACAAAACCACAGAATCAACTCCTGCGAACCTCGAATTTCTGCGTATAAAAAGTAATTTAAACTATAATAACTGCTTTAATTAATTTGCTAATGATATTTAGACACTGATGACGTTTAAACGTTCCATTGCATCAATAAAAGTCATCAAGTCAAAATGAGAACATTCATAAATCAACTGGTGATAAGAAAAAGTCATTATTTTTCACAACTTTGTGGAAATAAATATAAAATTTAGAATAGGTACCAGGTTAGATATTTAGTTAAAGAGTTTTGCAACCTATTCATTGCGTAAACTACAAACAATAACTATGAACAAGTTACGATAAAAAAACCATAAAACAACAAAAGATGATTGCTGCGAATAAAAGAAAAAAATAAGGACATGCACTTGACAAATTCTTAAGGTTCAAAGGAATATTTATCAAACCGTAATGATCTCTTCTGCGTGGGAAAAATATCCAGAATAAAATAATGTATATACATCGAAACTACGGAAAACAATACAAGGAGCGAACAATAACATAAATCAGTGTACAGGAAACAAAAAAGACAGCTGTCACCAGTAGAAATAAAGAAATATTGAAAAAGAAGAACATCGTACAATAGAAAACTACCGCAGTGCAACGAAAAAGATCAGTGAGAACCGAAACATGCAGGACAAGAAGACACAAAGAAAGAACAGAAAAAATGTTTACTTAAAATACACACTACTAACAAGTAGTAAAATATTTAGAAATAAATTAAACTAAAAAATCCAAACAAAAATAATAGAAATTAACGAATAAAGCGAATAAAAACAGAGGAAAATACCGAAGAAACGTGAACTAAAAGAACAAAAAGTAATAGCCAAGGAAAGATATGCACAAGTCAAAGAAGAGTAACCTGAGAAATTAAACCAACAAAAAAGCAGAGCGAAGAAAAGAAGTACTATTAAACATTAGAATAAATGAAAGAAAAATTATTTGAGTAAATACGGATGACAAGAATCCAGTAAGGTTTAAACAACATGCTCAACAACAAAATTACCTATAAATCGTGATAAAACGAATATATTATTGCGAACACGCAAAAGGTGTGTTCGGGGTCAATCAACAGTAGACATAACGATGGTGTAACAAGCAAAAATTATAATGCGGAGGTCGAATTGTTGTTATGGTTTGTTGAAGTGTAATGTGTTTTCGATGGATGAGGATTGTTGCCGCGGCAACGTGCTCCGGTAGCTTAGTTGGTTAGAGCGCCGTACTTATAATGCGGAGGTCGAGAGTTCGAGCCTCTCCCGGAGCACGGATTTTAGTGGAGTACACAACATCAACCTCAGGTCTGCAATCACTGTCCCATGTGGTTGAGTATCCTGTGCGTGTGAGTGTGTGCTCACTGCCATCTGCGTGCGTGTCGTGCACACTAGCATTGTGTGGTGATCGGGCAGTCAGTAGTTCGGCCTACGGTCATATCTAATTGTCGAAGCTCGTTGGATGGGTGCGGTGTTGTTGAGATTGTTGACACTATTTATTGCTAGTGTGTTGGAGGTTTATCAGAGAAATATGTATTATTCTGTTGCGAAATGTTGTTATGGTTTGTTGAAGTGTAATGTGTTTTCGATGGATGAGGATTGTTGCCGCGGCAACGTGCTCCGGTAGCTTAGTTGGTTAGAGCGCCGTACTTATAATGCGGAGGTCGAGAGTTCGAGCCTCTCCCGGAGCACGGATTTTAGTGGAGTACACAACATCAACCTCAGGTCTGCAATCACTGTCCCATGTGGTTGAGTATCCTGTGCGTGTGAGTGTGTGCTCACTGCCATCTGCGTGCGTGTCGTGCACACTAGCATTGTGTGGTGATCGGGCAGTCAGTAGTTCGGCCTACGGTCATATCTAATTGTCGAAGCTCGTTGGATGGGTGCGGTGTTGTTGAGATTGTTGACACTATTTATTGCTAGTGTGTTGGAGGTTTATCAGAGGTGGTCGTGACCATGGTGTTGGCTGCACGAGCTCGGTTTCAATAGTGACTGTGCAGCACCGGCACATGTCAAACTGTCCTCATCTAGTGGACATTGTTGACCAGTGTGTTCTCTACCAGTCAATCGTCTACAACAAATCATCCACCCTCAACGTGAACCAGTTGACCACACTGTTCAAACACACCAACCACAAACACTTCTGTCCACTGTTCACATGTCACAGGGTCGAACTCACCTCCAGAATTATTACAGAACGGGACGATTAAGCAAAACCTGATTCAGTTCACGACAGACAATGTTACGGTCGCACAAGTATCTCACTGTCCAAGAAATCAATCGTGCTCAACATCGTGATACCTGAACTAAGAGAATCCGTCTATTGTGAACCATAATGTACTCTCATCTCACTGTATCCGCCACCGATTCGCCTTCATGTTCAATAATACACTTGACTAGCTGTCATTATCACCTCGATGTATCGGTGTATTGTCAAATCTCACCCACACAATGTCTATACACTCGATGTTGTGAAATCATTTGACTTGTACACAATCATGATTTGTGTGGAGTGACAGTAGAACCTCGGTCACAGAAACAATCAAGTCAACTCACCTAGTGAGTTATCCAACCAAGTCGGCTATATCATTGTGGTGACACGCTTCTGAATTCGATCGAGCATTTGTGACTGGTCTAAATGTAGATTGATAGTAGAGCGATGAGAGGAGAGACATGTATGTGTCAGTGATTGTGGCTCATACGTACATGCTTGCCGACTGCGAACGTGTAGAGTGACTATGTGGTTGATGGGTAGTCCTCGTCGACTAGTTGATGAGCATGCAGTTGACAGTTGTCTCTTCGTCTATCTGATGAAGTCAGCCACGAGTGT